ACAACTCTTTTAGCAACAAACCGGAGAAATAACTCCGCAGATAACAGTGAGGGTCTTTGAAAAGGGTTAGAAATAGATAAACCCATTATAGATGCATGAATAAAACCCCGTACTCAACACGTAGAAAGCGCATCCTTTCAGCCGTGGAAATACTCGCTCCGTGTGGACCCCTCTCAGCGCCATCGTCTGGTCAGAGTGGTCTACAGCAGATTGGATTGGAATGTCTTGATGGCTCATTTTCCTTTGATTTATTATAAAAACGTATTGCTCACATTATTTGTTACTATGTCGAAATAAGAAGTCGTTTGATTTAAATGTTGTATATATGTAAATTGAATTTAACATAAATAAATAAAAAGACAGCTCCTCCCTGCCTCCTACGACCGCGGTCTGGGGCTTAAACAGGAAAGTTTTACAGAATCAATCAAACAACATTATTTCTGGCTACTTCAAGGATGCAGTGGTCACTGTCAGCAATATCTTCACATAATCTGCAGGTGAAGGACGTCCAGAGACCGTTCCAGACAACAACACATACAAGTTTTCAACTGCACATGCGCAGTTGAAAACTCGTAATTTTGACTTTTGAAGTCAAAATTTGGACTTTTAAAGTTGAAATTTTGACTTTTAAAGTTGAAATTTTGACTTTTAAAGTTGTAATTTTGACTTTTAAAGTCAAAATTTTGACTTTTAAAAGTCGTAATTTTGAGTTTTAAACTCAAAATGTTGACTTTCTGTATGCTTTTTTTTTTTTTACATGGCGGAAACGGGCTTCCATACAGACCTGAGTTTACAGTTTTCGCTTTTATCAAATTATGTAAAAGAAGAGATGTCCCGCAAAACTAACAAGACAAACGATACTTAATTACTAAACAAACTACAATCAAGAGTCGATGTTATTGCATTTCTTGTCCGTTACAAGAAATGCAAATCTACTAATCACAAAAAATACTATTTGCGATCGATGAATCGTGCAGAGCTGGTCCATGTGCACTTGATCTGTGCTGCCCACTGCAGGGATAAACAATGTGCTTACTCTCAGTCCTTTCCACTCTGACTACACTCATATTGATTATCAGGTTCATACTAATTATCACAGTTCCCCGTTGAGAGCACTGTAGCTCACAGGCTGCTGCAGGAAATTGTCTTTTTGCCAAATGGAGCATTAACCCCCCTACCCTCCCCCTTCCCCTCCCCCCACCATTTTGCTCTGCCCAAGTAAAGATCAGTCATGACAGACCCACATCGATTACAGTTCACGCAGGATTCTGTCTGTCTGCTGGTTCTGCTGTGTGGACCCTGTTATCTGAACGGAATCTCAATAACCACTTATCTGCCTCCTCAAGCTTACTTAAAAATGCACTCCAAGACAATGCAGCCTTAAACAAATATACACGAGCGAGGAAGACACTTAAGACACGTCCACACTTGTTGGTCTGAATCACTTTAACTGGACCAATTCTGGTTCACTTGGGCCTCTATTTGTGGACTATACAAAAACACGTCATTTTTTTGAAACGCTTTTGAAAGAGATTTGTGAAGCATTATTTTTTTCCCACAAGTGAACCAGATTTGGTACAGTTAAAGTGAACCAGACCAAATGTGTCTTAATTTGACCACATTCTGACTGCAAGAAATATCTCCTTTGGAACAAGAAAAAAAAGCAACAGTTCTTGAAATAACAGTAAATGGCTTCGTCTCATTGGAAAATCAAAATGTACCAAAATTATCCACAAGATTCAACCAATTATTTCCCCGTATTTTATGATTTTTTGCAGTGGAAAATTGTGATGGTTTTGTAAAAAAGAAAAAAAATTGAATGGATTTGAACGCAGCCTTTTTAGATTCTAAACGACACCTACTGTACAGTTCGTGGCGCTGCATGCATGTGAGACAAGGCCAGGCAAGTTTATTGGTATAGCACAGTTCATACACAAGGCAACTCAAAGTGCTTTAAATAAACAAAGACATCACACAAAGACATTCAGATCATAAATAATCAGAGTACATTAGACATTTACACAATACTAGGACAGGATATTTAGCTGCCGGGATGACTGGAGGATCCATGAGTCAGTGTTTTATTTTTCATGACGGGAATTTTTTGCCCTTAAATTACATTATACTGTTGTGAAAGACAAGCTGTAGCAGGAGAGCCACCCATCATACCACTTTTCCCCTCATAAAAGGCCAAATTGCAGCATTTACCTTTATTTTTTTTATTTTTTTACATGAATCACCTTGCAATATCTTGTACATACAGGTAAAACTCAGAAAATATCGTTCAAAAGTGTATTTATTTCTGTGATTCAACTTAAAATGTGAAACCAATACATTATAAAGACAGATTCATTACATGTATCAAGCATTTACTGTATTTGTTATTATTTTGACTTGTGGTCCACTTTCAAAATATGCTATTTTTCTGAGATGTTTTTTATGGATTTTTTTTAAGGCAAGGCAAATTTAATTCTATAGCACAATTCTGACAACAAGGCAACTCAAAGTGCCGAACACAACAAGATAGAAACAGTCACGCAAGGCATTGAAATCATAAATGATCACCATACACCATCAGATACGGCGCTAAATTATTAACAAAGGCGGGGGTCAGTAAAGTATCCATCTATCTATATCCCACTTTGCATGCACTGAGTATGTAAAATATTAGTTTCACATTGGAATTTTAATAAAAAAGTAAATGGACTTTTGAACGATAATCTATTCTTTCCAAGTTCCACCTGTATATTTTTGAAGTATGGATGTCTTTTTATTTCAACCCTTTTACCAAACATTCGTATTATCCCCAGCTAACCCCTCCTGCTCTTCAACAGTGAGTGTGATAGCATTAGACTCATGTGCGCTGCTACTAAAGTGAGTTTGTCATTGTCATATCTGTGTTATCTTTTGTAGGAAGTGTTTTGTCTCTCGCGAAGCTGTTTGGCAATGTTTTCCAGACCGCCAAGAGCAAAGATGGCATTTTCTGTTTGTTATTCTCTTGCTTGAGGCGAGCAGCATGTAGTCTAAACTGTTTTCCAACTTTAATTTGAGATTTTCGTTTCTCTTTGAACACTGGGGTCTATCTTTGAGCCGAACAGATGGACTGTAAGATTAAACTGGAACGGCACATGAACCTACGAGGAAAGTTACTCACTGAATAATTAATACGGCTCTTTTTATTTTATTTTAAAGTGGACAGATTCTGCTACACTGACAGTTTTGCCACTTTAATATATAATGTTGAGTCTACATTAAAACATTACTGCAGTTTTGTTTTTGTTGCATTGCTCACATTGGAGTGCTACTCAATCCAATCCACTTTATTTATACAGGACTTTTTATAAAACAAGTTTCCAAAGTGCTGCACCGAGATAAAAGTAACACATTTAAATATACAGGTTTGCCAGCTTTATATGTTTAAAATAAATAAATAAATGAATAGAATAAGTAAATCATTATGTACGCAGTAAAACAATTAGAATGAAATAAAAACAATAATATACTAGTGATCCAATTTAAAAGTAAAAATATCAATCAATCAATCAATCAAATACTTTATTATCTCACAATGGAGAAATTCAGTAATCAAAAATCATTCAAAAATAAAAACAATGAAGTGAATAAATTAAACAGAGGACCACACTACTCATGTTGTGTTACAAGCCAGAGAGTTAAAATACATCTTAAGACAAAACTTAAAAGATTCCGATGAGGGAGATGTTTGGATGTTGGGGGGGCAGAGCGGGGCAGCTTTGGACCAGCCACAGAGAAGGCCCTATCCCCCCGGGTTTTAAGTCTGGTCTTAGAATATTTTACTACTGCATGTTACCATTAGGACTGAACCAAATGAATTGCTTATTTAAACATTTGTCAGCTGATTTAGAAAATGATTCATCCTGTTTTGAACCTTAAAGACTTGACGAGAAGAGGTTTTATGACTCAGATAACTGCATAATGACTGTGAATGAGAATACTGTGTTTACAAAGTATTTTTTGTCACACCATCATCACACCATGTCCAGGGACTATGAGTGGAAACTAGCATTCTGGTTAAACCCTGGCACATTGCTTCTTATTAGACTTGTGTTTATTGTTTGTTGTCCCTGATCAAGTACATACATTAAAATTCAAAATCCCATATTCTCTTATGTTTCAGATCCAAACAATCGATTCATTAATCAAAAAAGGAATCAACCAACAAATGGATTATCAAAATGATTGTTAGCCTTATGGATATTACTATGTAGCCCCCTTGTGTTTCTAAGAAATTAAGAAAATAACAATAATTTTTGACATCAATATAACACGGAATGATGTGTAAAAGTTTCCGGCTGAAGTAATTGTTCCCTTTCTTTCTTAGGAACACTACAATACTGGTTTAAGTTTGAAATGTTCAACTTCTTTGACAAATGAGGTGCTGGGACCAGGGTTTGCGGTGTGGGATTCAGGCTCTGTCCTTGTTCACTGACCTGTATCCCTGGATATTTCCAAGATTACACCTTACTGCAGTTTTTCCTTCTCCTTTTTCCCCACAGACTCCATTGTTCCTGCCCCAAAGAAAAAAATATAGGACATTTAGAATCTTCATGGACTTGCAACTTTCCCCGAAGTTCAAGACACATTGGCCGAAACCAACATTAGTCTTTTTGTCCAATAAACTTTTTCAAACCGCTTCACATCTTTGAAAGAACGTCGACCCCATTTGCTGATCTTGGATATGTCACAACGACTTAACAAACCATATAAGGCCGCCAGAGTATTGAAAAACAGATCTGGTGTGACACGTTCAGAGTAATTGGCTTGATTCATAGGCCCATGTCGAGGCCTCATTATAACAGTGAGTTTGAACTTCAGAGATGAAATAAGGGAACAGACAGTAAATGGAGATCACTCCCTTTTACAGCTTTTATTGAGATTGTCAGATTTTAAATTGTGAGTGTGTAATAGTGAGTGATCTAAGCTGTTCTTTGTTCTGCCATTTTGTGTCTTCTTATCTTTAGGACCGCAGCCAAAGCACCGGCGAATGAGAGAAAGCCACGGCCAATAAGCACCATGAGCGAGGCCTCTAACTACACAGGCGGCTCGGATCACGCCAACAGCCCGGCCAGCATGGTGGCGGAGGGACAAAAGGACAGGGTATGTGAAAGTGGATCCAGTCACTTCGAACATTCATTTTATAATAACTATTGAGTATTGGCTGTAGCTGACCATAAGAACGCATGGTTGACCACAGACATTCCTGGTCATTTGATTGGTCAACTAAAAGTTTTTTCCTGACTTCAAAGAAATTAAAATCCTCTGTCTGCAAGTTTTGTTGCGGATTTCAGACTTGTGGATACGAGACAGATTGGTGTGAACAAAGTAGATCCCCGTTCTTCGGGCCAAATAATGTCGTCACGTACTTGACATGAAGCGAACACAAAAAAGCACAGACGCTTATTTACTGTCTATGGACCACACGCTGGACTCGGAGAGAGGCTGCATGGGCTGACCATGGCGCTGGTTCGCTGGTTCCGTTTCTCAACGCTGTCAATCCCCTCTTGGAGGCGGGCTTTTGACGTCATGGATTGCTGCACGTCACGATTTGAAATGAGCCGTTTTTGTGCCTCTTCAAGAATGAAAGAAAGAGGGACTCATTAAAAAAACTACTCTGAGCATGTGTATGAAGGCCAAATAGCACTGTAATCATGTTTATACCAGAAAAAGTCAAAAAGCGTAATATGGGACCAGACGAAATGAATAACATTTCTTTGCATAATGTATAATCTATAATTAGAGATTGATTATAATTATATCCCCAACCATTAGTCATTAAATAGTCCTCCCTGTCCTGTTAATTATTCCATTCACAAAGTCTCATGTCCTATGTAACATTTATGTCCCCAAAGTTCAATACCATTTTTTGAAAGACATCAATTTTTATTGAAATGGTTTTTGCTGCCCTCTGAGATTATCCTATGTATATCTATAAGTTACATCGTAATAAAGCATTATTAGGTACAAACATTTTTGGTTCATACATTTATTTTATTGCCGCTTGAAGTAAGATTTGACGCATTGTACAATTTAGCTTGGAGTGAGCCATAAATATTCTCTTTTCTAGCCTTCGAGACCGTCCAAGAAAATTCACAACTTTGGGAAGAGATCCAACTCAATCCGGAGAAATCCAAGTGCTCCAGTCATCAAGAAGAACTGGCTTTATAAACAGGTGAGCAATGACTCAGGGGAAAAGAAGAATATGACAGAAATATCCGTGATTTTATGTTGAATCTACAATTGATTGAAAAGTCAAATTATAAATGTGGTTTGTAAAGTTAGTATAAACATCTAAATCTTATATATTTATATCATGATATTACTGAATATTATTTGGGTTTGACATTTTTGACAGCCATAGCGAAAAAGGAATGCAGCAAAGAATTACAATAGGAAATATAGCTAAAATAATGTAGTTATGTATGATTAATCCACCCGCTTTGATCCAAACTGTCAACAATCAAAATGACCAGTATGTAAAAATCTGGCCAAAAGTGGTACTGCAACCTCTCCCACTCTCCCTGACTCCAGTTGCCAGATATGCAGACAAATCCAGCTTGGACCACAACAGCTGAATAGACAAGAGTTTAGTCAACAATAAATCTATAACCAACACCTTTTTCACGAAAACAGAAATTCTTATTTTATTCCTTGTTTTGATTTGAGAATCACAACGAGACCTTGTTTGGTTCTGCAACCTGATGTTATTTTACCAGCTCAACACGGTAAGTTCTGGCAACCCGGATTACAGACTTTCAAAATGAAAACAATAAGATTTACGGGCTGTAAAACTACTGTTATCAGTTAAAGAAGTATTCGAAAAGAGCATGGTTTATTAATGTCTTTTTGACATATTAGGACCATTTAATGATGACTTGACATGAAAATCTTACACATTGCTACTTTAAAGTTTACCTAACTACAATCTTCAAGCTGCAAAGAAGCCTATATATTAAAATTCATGTAACTACGTAGTCCCTGGCTCTCAAAACTTAACTCAATTCAATTAAATTTAACTGTAGTTGTGATTTAACAGTAGTCTCTTTTGCGGCTATCAATTTGCATTTATGAAACAAGAAAAATGTCAAGTCTAGTTACACATTTAACTTACAACGTGTGTAATGTTTAATCATCTTTAACCCCAAAACCAGAACCAACAAAAACAAAACAAGTTGAAAAGAAAACGTTTTCATGCTAGTTGCTGTGTCCGCCTTTGTCTGGAGTCTCTACCCGCTGGTCCATGCAACCGAACAACAGCATAAATAGCCGGGCTTCTGTCAGGAGGGTGAAAAGGAGGGTGCTTCAGGGTGCTCTCGGCTTCTCTCCCGTTTCCTTAGCGCGGCTTTGTGGACACGAACGGCGGGTTCTTTTGGTGGAGCTGCCAAGAGCTCTTTTTTTTTCTTTTTTTTTTCTTCTAAGGAGGGTCTCAATCAGGGCTGACGTGGATCAACCGAGAGGACTCACAAATCTGCTACCTCGAAAGAAAAGCTGGATTTGCACTTTTATTTTTCCGGGCGTCATTGAAAAACCTGGAAACTATTGAAGTCTTTTTGGCAGTGGAGAGTGAGCCTGCAGCAGAGAGCCACTGGGAGGACAAGAGTGATTGATGTCATGGTGAAAGGAAAGAACATTATTTTTCCTTCCCAAATAGACCCGTATCACACTGAACAATTGTTTATAGAGGAAAAGGGTTGGAGATCATTTGCATTGAATATACCTTTTCTTTTACAGGCACTTGTCTCGACCATTCACCCTATCAATTTTCATTCATTTGCATTTAAAACAAAAGCTGCCACTAGTGAGTTGTTTAAAAACTTGGATTAAAGTGAAGGTCGAAATGAGGCCCCTCACCATTAGTCAAACTATTCTCCTCCAGAAAATATTACCGGTGGCGTTTATACCGAGAGGAGGGCTCTCAATTATATTCTTTTCATTCTTGTATTGTTTTCAAAATTAAATACCTTAAAGATTTTGCAGACATTCCCTTTAAGGCAAAATATACTTTTCTCATTTTGCTGCTATTTTCTGGAAGAATTTAAATTACATAGCTATGCTCACAATTTGTTGATTCCTTAGTTAGGTTAACACATTAACTTACACACATTAACTTCAACTATAATTCACTTTAAAACACTCTCATACCTTTTTTTTTTTTTATCTTTTGCATCTCTCTATCCTCGTGTTATCTATATCTATAAATCGATCCACTCTCGCTTCTCCGCAAAACTGGGTTTGAATCCCAGTTGGAACAGGGTCTGTCTGAGTGGAGTTTGCTTGTACTCCCTGTGCCTGCTCCAGTTTCCTCCAGGTGCTCCAGTTTCCAATACCACTAAAAACATGTAGAAGGTCAATCCGAGCATCAGCATCTGGAAAAATGCAAAGATGGAATTTTCCTACGGGGATAAATAAGATACACCTTTACCTTAAATCTAGCAAATCGCTAACATTTTGAGAGTATCCGTGATGTAGAATGTGTGCTGTGCCAGTTCTAGTTTACGTTGCTTTCACTTACCATGCATTCAAAGTTGTGCCCTCGTGCTGACACACCTCTTCAGGGTCCTCCCCTGCTTTTTGTGGCCTCTCAAATCCCCCATTAAAACTGCTGCTCAGGTTTTACAATAAAGCAGACTGAGGAAGTTAATACCCTGCTCACCGCTCGGCATCCTCTTTAAGCCCCCATGTAAAAAGCCTTTGATCCAAGCTTTTACGCTGAACATCTTTTTTCTTTCAAAAAAAACGTTGAGGAAAGTGTCGGGAGAAAAACAGTTTCCCTCTAACTAGTGTTATAACAGAACTCTGGGAAACAGCCTGTTGATAGTATGTTGTATATATGCGATTGTTTCTATGTTTTTAAGTAAGACTGCACTGTTTTCAATGGTGTGAGCCTAACTTTTACATTGTTGTACTTTCAGGACAGCACAGGGATGAAGCTGTGGAAGAAGAGGTGGTTCGTTTTATCTGATCTCTGCCTCTTCTACTACAGAGGTAAGTTGCATTCTCATTGGGTATTATTCATACTATACTTTCAATCCATTTTCTTTTGCTTTATTTGTTGCTGGGTCACAGAGACAACAGTCTGAGCAGAGACCATAGGCCATAGAAGGACTGGACTAGCGTGTGGTGATGTCACAGAGTGTTTGCCTTATTGAATAATCTGATTGGAGCTAGCTTGAACATTTGAGTAGGAATTTTTAGTAGAAAACAAATTTTTATACATTTCGCTCCAGTATTTGGATTCCCACTCATTGAGCGAGCGGGTTAGCATTGTCCATCTATAACCTACTATATTAATATATTGTTCTAGAGAATATGTATTTTGAGTTTGTAATCAGTCTGGAATATGTATTTTATTTTATTTTCTAAACAGTTGTTGTGTCTAAGTTGACCTCTACAGGACATGATGTCAGGTTGGGCTTACATTAGCAAGTTGCTTCCCAATCCTTTTTTGGTTGTTATACAGTCAGTGAATGTAATATGTGTACAGGACGTGATGTCAAACAATTGACCAGAAATAAACACATGAATTCATGATTTCATTCATTCATATACAGTCGCTCAAACCCCACTCTCCGCATATACTTCCTCCAGCTCATCCGGACGAGGCGTTCCCCAACCGGCTGAGAGACATAGTCCCTCCAGCATGTTCTGGCTCTTCTCCTAAGTTTGAACATTTTGTTGAATGAGTGTCTGACTTCCATCCCATTTAAAGTGTATAATTAACCCTGGCCGCGTCCTTCCCCTAAGCAGAGTATTGTTTGATGTGCACTTTTATAAGCTCTTGTTGACTGGGCTATTGACTGAGCGCTTCGGTGTCTCTCATGCAGCAGTAATGTGCGCTTCAAATATTGGCACAGCTGTGTGTAGAGGACATCGGAAAGAGTTTTAGCACGGTCTGATAATGTACAACAGAGGCTGAAAGTTACGTACTTTTACTCAATTACATTTAGAACAATTAGGACTCACCATATGTTCCATTGGAAATGAGTGTTCGATAATTCTGGGAAAAGATGTACAGGTTATAACATATTACAGTACATATTAGGTCACTTTACAGATATAATCATATTTGGAGTTTCTATTTATTCACAGCTGCATAGTATGGGAAACGAAAGAATGATCTCGATTACATTCCCCCTCCCTACCTTGAATAAAGAACAAGCAAGGCAACAAATGACAAAGACATTGTTTTCTATACAATTTGATGTGAGTCGCAAACATGGGAGAAAAGGAGACTAGAATGGTGCATTATATTAGAACTATCTTTGGGATAATAAAACCATGAAAGGCACATACATGAAGACAGGTAAAGACACTATACCTGTTGCTTTTTTCTTCATAACTTCATCCCCTTGCACTGTCACTGTCACATGATTAAAATGTGCAACCTTTTTTTCTGCTCAACCCTAGTACCATACTTTTTGGGTGTTTGAGTGTTCTTGTTTATTTGCTGCACCAGTTACATTTACAGTGTCGGCCCCAAACGTATTCTTTTTTTTTCAAGACTGTTTTATAAGAGTCACAATTAGCACCAATATGTGAATATTTCAAGTTGCTGCAAGATTCTAGTAAGACACAGCGACACTTTTTTTAAACCGAAATGTCACCATATTGCTTCTAAAGCTTTGAGTCAAAATACGTTTTCTTCCTTATTTGTAAGTGAAGTCCAGTTAGAGATCAGTCTTTTTACCACAGTACTACGTGACCTTTTGCTACAGGCACTTGCAGTGGCCTGCTAAATCAAAACCCTGCTCTCCCTGGTTTCCTTGGTAATGGAAAACAAAGATGTTTGTTCTGTCATGTTGTCCCAGGACCCCCTCAAAAAAGAGATGGTTCATCTCAAGGGGTTATCTTTAAGAATAAATAAATGAATAAATAAAAGATTAGTCAAAATAAAATTCAACACTTTACTTTTGCTTTTTCTCTTTTAAGTGTCCTGTGTCGAAGGCCATAAGCCTTTAGCACACAGAAAATCCTTAAAATAGAAGCTTTTCTATAAGCCCAGGCTTCGAGGCACTTGCCAAAAGAGGTGCCTACTAACCTGAGAATTACAGTAATAACCCTCCCAGTAGTACCCGCAACAATTGTGTGACTCTATTGAAGATTGTACTTTCACCTTTGCTTTAGCACATCAGGAAACCAACTATCAATAATTCCCCACACAGTATTCCTCTGTATCACTCATGTTTAATGGGCGCTTGCTTCCTGTCGATCCGGATGACATATTTTCAGAGTTATTCCTGTTGTCAGTGCTAGGCCTGGGCATCTTTCCGCCCACATCCTCTGAACGCCCCAGACAGCAGCTTACTCCAAGGACTTTATGTGGACAGACATTCTGTGAAATGGTCTTTATCAGCTGAGAGTGGGCAGGGTCATGAACTGGCCTTTCTTTCTATCCAAGCACAAAGCTTCATGAAGTGCACTTGGACGGAAAGCAGAATTACACAGTACATTTATACAGGTGGATGTAACACAATATTAAACGTAGCTTAATGGCTAAATCTTGTTGAATTGTCTTCCTGGCTAATGTGGCTTATGTGCCTCTCACTGATATTTTTCTGCCTCTTATATTACAGCTCTACTCAGCAGATAAGTGAAAAGTGCACTCAAAAAGTCAATCCACAAATGGGACATCCACCGTCAGCTGAATCAGATTTTGTTTTCATGCACCCTTTTGAGCGCACAGTTCAATTTGGGAGGTTCAGCATTTCTGGGCTTAAATCTCTGGCCTGAGTTGAAACCTCCCTGTGGAGAGGAGTGCATTGTTAGAGTGGAGGCCAGACTGCTGCTTAATGAGGATTAGAGGAGCCTATCTGCATTGGACACTGAATCAATGCTTATCGTGACCAGTGAGTGGTCCTGGGGTACTCCTTATGCACAGCGCTACATTGTTTAACTTTGCTTTCTATTCATGGAAATTAATATCTTGAGGAATGACATTGTACACCACATTGACTGTATCACAACACTGCAAAAAGTAATCAAATATGAGGTAATATACTTTATCTTAATTTGACCAGTTTTTTGACTTCCTTAAAACAGGATTTGCCAATGGGACAAAGCCATGTCATTTTCTCTCAAGAACTGTTTTTTTTTCTCATTCCAAGGGAGACTTTGTGTCTTTTTAAAACAAGATAATTTTGCTTGTCCCCTTTGCAAATATTGTTTTAAGGCTGTAAAATTGTGTTCAAATTGAGATACATTTTGTCAAATTTTAGCAATTTTTGACTTACTTTTCATCACTTTTTGCAGTGAGTAAGGGTCTGACATTTGCATCATATGAATAACATAACCAAGATACCACAATATTATCTGAGACAACAGAGATGTATATTCACCGAGTGCTTATTGCTCTTTTATATCGACCAGGTATGAACAAAAATAGATACATTCAAGGAGGAAAAAATGCCAACAGTGAATGGACCTATAGCTGTGACAGAAAGGCATCAGATGTATCTAAATTATTCATAATGTAGCTTTCTGCTTTTTATCTTAGTCCGTCAATGTTCACTTCTGCATTATTGATATCGCAGGTGGATCAAGAAAGCAATCCATAAACATTCTTGACAAAAAAAAGAAATTTTCATACTAATAGTGATACCAGAGAAAGTGTACATAATCTACATATTTGTCATATTTTATTTGGTTCTTGGCCTGTTGTCGGCATCAGCACCACCTATAGGCCGGCCAGGTATTGTTAATGGATTAGATTTGTAAAAAAAATAAGTTTTTACATGTGTTACTCATTTGTCTGACTCCCTTGACTTTAGCATCATGTTTATTTGCTTCCCCAGATGAAAAAGAAGAGGGCATCCTGGGCAGCATCCTCCTCCCCAGCTTTTATATATCAATGCTGTCTGTGGACGATCACATCAACAGGAAATACGCTTTTAAGGTCCGTGCACATCTCCATCTGTGAAACTACATAGGCCTGGTGAGGTTAAAGATGTCTTTTTGGACCTCACATCCCTCAGTAAAAGCATCAACAGTGAATGAATCTAAAAGAGGGTTTCCATAGTAACTTACTCAGCACAGTTATGGAAAAGCCTCTTGTAAACTCTCTGTCAATCTTTATTCATGTGTGCATAGGGTCACAAACTATCAGTATTCTAATATTCACTCAGATTCTGTCAGATCTCAGAAGCTAAGCAGTCCAGGGCCTTGTTAGTACTGTGATGGGAGACCTCTGGGAACAACAGGTGCCACAGTGAGATGGCAGTAACAATTTGGCGGCTGGTTGTTGTGTCTTTAGGCAAGGCACTTAAGATAACCTTACATAATACCTAAGAGAGCCTTTATTTTGTAAATGTTGGTGTTGCAGCGCACATGTAGGAAAGTAAGTAAGCGCACATGAGGCACATACAGTATACATAGACAGGCAGCTGTATACACTTCTTAGCTTCAGATTTAGAGACCAAAGTAAAGGCCTGTAATGCACTCCAAGAGCAATATGTATATATGGTGTGTGAGTGAATGATTGGTGTTGGTCGAAGGGGCCGATGGCTCAGATTGGCAGCCTCACTTCGGTATGGCAGCTGTGGCTGTGGCCCCGTTAGTAATTTACCACCACCATATGCAAAGGGAATCCATAATGCTACGTGAAGCATATTTGTCCGTTCATAAAAGTTCTATGTTACTTTTTTCTTGTTTGTTGACCTTGTCCAATGTGAAACTCAGGCGACACACCCCAACATGCGGACATACTACTTTTGCACTGACACAGCCAAAGAAATGGAGTCGTGGATGAAAGTCATGACAGATGCCGCGCTCCTGCATTCGGAACCCGTCAAAAGGTTTGTAAGCTAACCCTCTCCTTATTGATTCACTGCAAAAAATTATGAAAAGCCACTCAAAAATGGCTCAAATTCTGCAAAATGTATCATAATTTGAGCACATTTGGCTGCCTTTAACAAGATTTGCCAAGGGGACAAAGAAAAATTATCTTGTTTTAAAAATATACAAGAAATGTCTCCCTACAAATTAAAAAATAAAGCAAATCTTGTTTTATTTCAGTCAGAATGTGCTCAAATTAAGATAAAAAACCTCTCAATGGAAGGATTTATTACCTCCATCATTTTGCAGTGAAGAATTTGTTACGTCAATTGTTTAATGCTAAATAATGAATGAGGCAGCGTGCAATACAGGAGTTGGGGAGTAGTTTCTGGTCACAGCTGTGAGTCCAACTTTTCATTTTTAAACTGTTAAATCGATGTCCGTCATTTGGCGTTGGGCCGGACTAATGCCCTCTTCTTACATGAGCGAGCAGAGGCGGACTGCTCAAGTGCGCAGTAATTACACAGCACAGCATGGCTCCAAATCCAGCTTCAGCTCTGTAGCACACCAGCCTCAAAAATGAAGAAGCCATTTTTGCCTTTTCCTCTGTTTTTTGTATTGTACATGTTTTTTTTAAAGTGCATTTAAGCAGCATTTAGCCACAATTATTAATCTCATGCTTGTTTTGAATATACCACTGCAACAAATGATGAAATGTGAGGTATTAATTACTTGAATGGAGTGGTCTTTAGCTTTATCTGAGTACATTCTGACTGAATTAAAACAAGATTTGCCAATGGGAGAATCCATTTATTTTCTCATTCCAAGGGAGACATGTCTCATATCTTTTAAAAACAAGATCATTTTGCTTCGGGCTATACAAAAATAAAGAAATAAATACAACACACACACACACACCCACACAAACTCAGTCAAGACACCCAAACGCTCGCACTTTTCTCTCACTCCTCTCTCTGAATTAAACCCACTTCTCCAGTACCTTTTTTATACATAGTTTAAACAGGTTTTGAACATGCTTTTGTGATGAAAAACACGTCTTCAAATTCTGCTCTTTTGTGGAATAAGAAACCAATGGATCTGTGAAAGACATTAGCGCTTTTGTGACTATTTAAAAGATCGCAACTGGAAAGTTTGATGGCGTGCCCTCACCGCTGCCCTCTCATTGCAAACTCACTGAGCCGTGCTGTGGAGGGGAATGTTGCACTTTGAAGCACTGACCTTGACTGAGGCCGAGGTGCAGTGGTGTCTATTACCTCTGAGCCCCCCCTGAGACAAGTCTTTAGGTGAGAAGGCCAAAAGGAACAACAAGAAGATCGCACTGCAAAAAAATGTCAAAATATAAGGTAATAAATGCTTGAAGGGTTAATTTGAATATATTCTGACTGTCTTAAAACAATATTTGCCAAATGTTGTCTTATTTCAAGTGCTGTTGCAATTTATTTCTCATTCCAAAGAGACATTTCTTGAATTTTCTTTTCAAAACAAGACATTTGTGCTTGTCCCATCGGCAAATCTTGTTTTTTGATAATCAAAAAGTGATCCAAACATTTATTACCTTCTTTTTTGTTCTTTTTTGCAGTGCACCACCCCATTCAGAAGTGGTTTTACTGAAAGATCATAGGTTCATTTTATGGGATTCTGGTTGCTTCGGAAAACACTCTCTTATCCAGTCTAATTTTAGAGATAAAGTCCCCCTCTGGCTGAATGCTGTTTAATTTGCATTGCCATAAAACATTAATACAACAGAAAGATTCTTTTAAAAGTCAAATGTTATAAACAAATCTGACCACAACATCCCTTAGAAACTATTTAAAGATTTGAATACTTACAATATTCAAATGATTGGATGGTCCTCCCTTTTCCCTTTTTCTGTCTAAAATAAAATGATCAAGTCTTGGGAGGCCAAAAATATGTGCATTTGAAAACAATTATTAGAACCAAAGTGTTTTGCAGGCGAGATATTAGTAAGATTGGTTATATTGCATCGTATCTTATGGTTTGAAAGTTAGGTACCACAGGAGGTTCGGTTCGTCTAATGGTTACAAATTTGCATTAGATTAGTTTCAAAACAAGATGAATAAACCGGGAATTAATTGGTTTTATCATTGTCATTTGACCGAACTCTTTGAGAAGTATACAAAGTTATGAGAAAAAAATATATTTAAAATTATTTTTTACAGGTTGGATCGGCTAAAAGTGGAGCAATGTGGACCTCAGGAAATCAACCATGTAGCCAATCACAGACCGGCGCTCACACAACCAGAAATCCAAAAGAACGAGCGCAATAGAGAAGTGAGCTCGCAGCACGCCGCACCTGTCAGCCCCGTCTCAGTGGAGGACGAGCGGAAGCAGCGGGACGCCGAACGATACGGATTTCAGAAAGACGGAGAAGAGCGTGAACGGCCCCTCACCAAAATCAACAGTATCAAACTACAGCCGACCCAGGCAGCTGCGACCGTGTCAAAGAGGACCCCCACGGAGACGGACGGCCAGTACAACGGGCCTCAGGTGAACGGGGGAGTGGAGCCATGTCCGGACGAAGCGCCTGGCGTCCCCACTCAGAGAAGCCCCGCCCAACCTGAACCGGACCGCACCCTGAGCCGGACCAGCTCCATGCAGCAGCTGGAGCAGTGGGTGCGCTCGCAGAGAGGCCGAGGACAGGACGACGACACCAGGAGGTAAAAACATTGACAACAACTGGTGGTGTATGGAGCACATACTGTTGTCAAATAACTGAATAATAGCTTTTTTATGCTGGGAGGATGTTTTTATGACTCCCAGACGTGATGACTGCTGAATAAAATTAATATTCATGAACAATATATGAAACTCGCCTATGCTCTCGAGTCATATCATTTAATCTAGCTTAGTTTCTGTTAAATATATTCCAACATTACAGGCTAATCGATTAGTTGACTAAATAATCGGTCAAGTAATCTATAATGAAAAGTAGAAAATATCTGAGACTTCCGCCTAGAAGCCCAGTTCTATTTTTTCTGACAGTTTTTTCGGATCACCTTCAAAATCGAATTAGTTCTTCATTGGGCCATTGCAGACAATTTTGTCCAAATCTTCCCATAACTTTTTGCTCACAAACAGATGCTTGTGATCACTTTACCTTCTGGGCAGTGGTAATAATTATTGTTAATTCAAGTCAGTGGGTTGAAAGTGTTAGTTTGTGCTTGGGCCCATTTTTTGAGAGCTTTTTCATAGAGAAATAAATGCCTATAAACCCTTTTCTGTATGATAATCCATCCCAGATCAGAGGAGTGACCTATGAAGATGCTTCTCAACATGGTTTGCCGCAATGTTTGGAACATGTGATATAAAATGTTTGCAAATACTATGTTATATGTCCAACGCACAGTGCAGGCTCCCCTTCAGGGCAATGCAAAACTTTCTACGCTTTTTCCTTGTTTTGAAGTCTATGGCTTTTCCCAAAAACTGTTTACAACTGATTTTTGTGTTGACAAAAACAGTTTCCAGTACATGTCAGCGTATGTACATGACATTTAAAATAACAAGAACAAAGAAGTTGCAGATCGTAATTAGAGTTTGTTTGTTGGCTTGGCTCTGGTTCCCTGGGCTGAAACTTAATATTTATCTGATCTTCTGTACTGCCCCTCTCTGCAGCACGTTTTGTGCTGATCTGCTTTTTCTGTTCTTATCCAACTGGGATTTCTTGTCAGTACATTTTTTACTTTTGTACATTAATTTGTGTTCATATATTTTATGAACTGGAAGAGGTTCTATGAATAATATATGATGAAAATATCCATGCTTGTTTGCTCAAGTTATACATCAAGTCATATTTTGGCACTTTGTCACTCTTGAATATACAGTAATTTTGACCTATTCTCACACTTATAGATTGATACATTTTTTACCTCAAACAATGTTTTAATTTGTTTCTATTTTGAACCTGCACAATTCATACTTTTACATATATCAATATAACAGTCAGATAACTTGTACCTGGTTCGAAAAGATGTTGGAGAAAGCAAATGCTTTGTTGCTGTAAATAAAAATACTAATGTCTTCATGTTCTCCCTGCAGTGTTACATCGTACCAGACAATGCCACGAAACATGCCCAGCCACCGTGTGCCATACATGCCTCAGTATGCAGAGGCAGGTTACCGCAGCATGCCCCGGAACAGCATGGCTCAGAGGGACAGTATTTGCAGCATGTCCCCCTCTCTGTACGACCAGGCCCTGGGACCCTTGTCCGGGGACAAGCGCCGCTCCATGAGAGACGACACACTGTGGCAGCTGTACGAATGGCAGCAGAGACAGGCGTACACCAGACACTCAGGGATGTACAGTAACATGGCCAGTCCCAAAACCATGATTAACCTGTCGGAGCACGCCCCGCCCAGCCACTCCATCCCCCCCTCGCCCTCACACGGCTCCTTATCCATGTACGGAGGATACTCCCCCATGAGGTCCTACAACATGAGCAGTGCGCGCTCCGAGGTGTCGTCTCCCGTCTACAGGAGAGATATGAGCATGGACCGAAGACTGAGGCCACAAGTCAACAAAGTGAGCTTTGGACTCAACCACTGTTTAGACAATATGTTATAAATGAACAAACACGTATATTATGTACTTTAATATCCAGACGATAAGCCACTACTTTTTTTTTAGTTCTTTGATCCCTGCGGCTTATATACTGTAGCTATGCGGCTAATATGTGTATTTTTATTGTAGTGGTGTTTAGGGACATATTATTTTAACAGATGAAGGTGAATACCAAGAAAGCTGCCGTGAAGCTGTTAAACACCTCGTCATTAAATCATGGTGTGGCCAGTTAAAACAGTCTTTCTGCTACATTACAACATTCAAATGCAGCCTATAGTATGTGGATAAAATATATTTTCTTTTCAAATGCGTGGTTCGGCTTATACAGGTGAGGTGTACAGGTGTACAGTGAGGAAAAGAATTTTAAATCTTGACTAATCTTTCGAGCTTCCAAGATACAGGCTGGAGATCCCTGCTCTATAAGTGGACGTAATTGCAACTGATGGTCACAATTGGACAGAAATTATTTTAGCACTTTGCAAAAAAAAGAAGACATACGTGTTTAATTCCATACTGTGAAACTTTGATGGCAGAAAATGACACCACAATTCTAAACCTCGGTAAATATGATAAGAAAACGATGGCTCGGATGGGGACCAATGTTTTTAACGCCATAACAACATGTGTTTACTATTACATCTGTACACAAGCCATGGCGCCATATTAAATTAAATATCTATTATCACATGACTTTGTGCGTTCCAGTATGCTTATCCGCCTGATCGGAGGTCGATGCCAGCGGGAATCCCAGTCCAAACCATCACATCTCAATCTCTTCAAGGCAAAACCGTGAGTCACACATTTCAATATAGTTTACGAGAGTGTATTAATCAAACCACAATGTAATTTATCGTATTCATCGCTTGTATAAACCAGGCTTAATAGGATACAAATTTATTTCCACATCCTCCCACTCACCCACTTCTTACTGTCTTTTGGTGTTTTGTTTTTTTTCCGAGAAGACACGACACGGCTTAAATCGAAGACAGATTTAGGCAGAACAAGGATGTATGTTCCAAGTATAGGATTTAGGGAATGTGCACTTCAGGAGCCGTTGGACACTGGCCTTGCTTCAGTAGAGACTTAAATCCCAGTTTTTTGGGCTTAGCAATGTCCAAAATGCAACTGATTACAATCTTGTGCAAATTCTATCATTACAGCTGCAGTTTTGTTTTCTAGAATGCACTGAATAACACATCATTACAAGGAAAGGAATCATTTTTTGTATCGGGTTCTGTGAGTGGCATTGCAATTATAAAAAAACAGTAATTTCTTAAATATAACCGTTTTTTATTTTTTTTGGATCACATTGAAAACTATTTTGGAAAGTAAATTTTTATTGTGTGTCTATTTTTCAGTAGCAATATCTAGTTATATGAGGATTACAGTTGGTTAATACTGTAAATGCAAATCGCAACTTTTATTTATCTTATATTAGTTCTTGGTTATAAAGCACACATTTTAAGCAAAAGATTCCAAACTAGTATCTTGGCCATTTTCACTTTTTTCATGCACAACTTTCTTCTGGAATGATTCAATCTCTCTCTCTTCTAACATTTTATAATATTTAACAGTTTTCTCACCTTGTGCTGCATGTGCACTACTGTAACTGTTTAACCTCTAACTTCCTAATCTCTTGACCTTGTGTGTCCTCTCCTCTCTCCCTCCTATTTTACCTTTCTCCTCTTACCTCTCTTCTTTCTCCTATCCCCCCCTCTCCCCCTCTCCCCCTCTCCTCTCCCCCTCTCCTCTCCCCCACCTGTATCTCCACTCGTTTCTCTCCTCTTCCTTCCTCTGTCTCTTTTTCTCTCTCCTCTCTCATCTTCTCTCTGCCCTCTCATCTCCTCTCTCACTTCTATTTTTGATTTCTCCTTTCCTCTCTTCTCTCTCCTGTTTTTCTCTCCCCTCTCTCTTCTCTCCTCTCTCCTCTCTATCCTCTCTTCTTCTTCCCTCTCCCCTCTCCGCCATGCCCTCTCTTGCTTCCTACCCCTTCTACTACTACCACCCTCCCTCTTAACCTTGCAGCCTGAGGAACTGACTTTGCTGCTGATAAAGTTGCGCCGGCAGCAGGCAGAGCTTAACAGTGTCCGGGAGCACACGCTAGCACAACTCATGCAGCTAAACACGGACGGAGAAAACCCAAAGGTCAGGCCCCGAGAGAGGGCTGGGAGTTAGCATGTGGTGTATGTGCGCTGGACAGTTCAACCATCAACATTTTCAAGGTCTTTTGGATCTTTGAGCCGGGATAAGCAAAGATGGCGGTCTGTTGGAAATATTAAACATTCTAATTGGAATGCAAGCAGACATGTATTTACCATGGCAACTGTAGAAGAATAGCAGCCGTCAATGAAAAGAAAAAAATCAGATCTAAAAACCAATTCTCAGTCTTTTTGTTGGTCTGTGCCCTGTGTTGTAGTTTCCTTTCTTTTGATTTAAACAAAACTGCTTTTATTCTGTCATTTATTTTTTAATCTGTGTTCCTTCCTGTCCTTCATGTGTTCAGAAGTTGCATACCATATATATATACTGTATGTACACATGTATATATATATGCATATACTGAGAAGCTTCTTTAATATTTATTTTGTTACGTATTCTGTTACATGGTCCAATCAGAATACTATATTCTGAACACCACTAAGTTGCATAATATAATTATGTAAAAATGTGATGGTTCAAAGCAACTTTCTTTGTGCACAATTTTCATTAATGTTTTCATATTTTTATTTAGAAATGGAAACACATTTGCTTTTTATATTTTTTTCATAATAGTTTTCTGATAAAGTATTCCTGGCTCATGTATCCCATTACTTTCCAACAGAATCTAAGTAGAATCTAAGTAGCACAGCTTTAACTTGACCCATTTGTAAAACCTTGAAAGATCCTTTCTTTCTTTTCTTCCAGGTACAAAGTGTGCCATGCGCCTTGATAGGTTCTGCGTGTATGTGTCTGTGTGTGTCTCTCTCTGTGAATGTGTGTGTGTGTGTTTATGTAGCCCCTATAAGATATACTATTTACTTCTCTTAATTACTGTATTTTTCAAACGTTAAAGTATTTCTTGAACTAAAGGTCAATGTAAGTAAATGCAATCTCCCTAAAAAACTAGATGTGTGAATGAAATGAGTTTTTTGTCCTCATCGTCTCATCCTTCTGTTGCCTTTCTCTCCTCTTTTTTGCTGCTGATGGTAGAACGACATTCTTTCTCATCATCTTCATAGGAACCTCATGTATTTGGACAATCAGGTGGGGTAAAGCATGGTTACATCCTGGTTCATTCTTGTTAAACCAGAAGTCGTAGTAAAAATAACCTCAGGTGCCTTTTCAGCCACATGATGGATGTTACGAAGCATGTTAGAGAGATGCTCTGCTACAGGGCCTTCCATTCATGAGCTTACGGCTACTCTAACCTAATACTTTATATATTGCTGTATATATCGTGCTGCAATTAAGTATGTAGTTCCCTTTATGAATGTATATTGTGGAAAAGTTCAACACAATAGTTACATTTGTGCATTCTGACTTAAAAGAAATGTGTTTTCTGAGGTGGTGGGTTGAACCATGAAATAGGTACAGTCTGAGTCTGCAGTTGACGATTTGATAGAAAAATAATCCATAGAAAACACTAATAGTTGCACAGACTTCCGCCAAGAGGTACAATTCTATTATTTGAAAAAATCTGGTCACCAACATTTCCCCATGTTCCCAAGGTTTCCTCCAGGTGCTCCGGTTTCCCCTACCACAAAAACAATGGGTTAAATCTGCCAGATCTGTTAGTCCTGACCAAGCCTAAGTATGTGGCCCTAGTGGCTTTGTATAGGATTGGTCAAATGCAAACGAGAAATATTCTTACTGGGATAATATACCATACCTTAACCTTTAAATCTTTTTTTTTTTATTTTATTTTTTCATTATTATTATTATTTTTGTTCTTACCCTTTATGCTCTTTAAATTGTTATGTATGTTTGTATTTATGTCTATGACTCCCTCGAAAATGGGATGAAACTTACACTTAACTCAAAAGTTATGGGTGGAAATTAAGTTTATCTTGCTATCAGACTGACAGACAGACAAACCCGGGTGAAAACTTGAACCCCTTGGCGGACGAAGTAACTAAACTGAACTTTTCCACACTATACAGTACACTATACCCACTATATGCCTGTGCTACCTGCTGCTGTTATGGTATAGGACAATGTTATAATCACATAACTTGAGGGCTTCTTGAGCAGTTTGTAAATCTAACCAGGCTGAAGCTGAGTATTGTGCTTGAAGACATGGCTCTAAACTTGCTGCTTGCTCCTCTCCACACTGGACCGTAGATGAAGGAAAATGGCCCTTTAATCGCCATGACACACTCTTTGATTGAGAACTCTGCCTCAAGGCCTCAACAGTACAAACAAGTAAGCAGGCCTACGGACGGCTGTGCTCCTCATCGTCACCAGTGTCTCTTATTTTTGGTCTTTTTTCGTAACGCTTCTCCTTCAATGTCCAAGTCCTCATCTCGAGAACGGTTTGCCCTCTCCATCCATTGCTTTTTAATGTGCCCTTTTAATTGTTGAAAGTCATGCCCGCACAGAGCATGACTTATGAAGATGTCGTCAATGTGTTTGCCTCACTATGAAATCCCACGACGTCCCCTGGGTTTTTCCTTGTTACAATTCTCTTTCCAAACGTATTGAAAGTTTATCAAATGTGGCTTAGCTTTTGGGATTGGATCCTGGCACGTTGCTATTGTTTAGTCTGTGGGCTTCTCTGTTAAGGTCAGTGAGTTTTTATCATCTGTACAACTCCGCTTTCCATCTAAGCCACCTGGACAACCGTTCAACAAAGTATTCAGGCTATGAAAAATAGCTGACTGGTTATATTTCCTCCCCAATTTATGTATCTTCGAGAGGCCAAAATGTGTAGACCTAAATGTTTGATTGGACAGATCTGAAACCACCCATTTGAAATCTGTATAAATTAGAAGAAGAAGAAGATATTCTTTATTAATTCAGCGTGAGATAATGTAAAATGCACTTATTTAAAGCTGGGGTACTTAACTTTCTGTTTTCTATGAATATGTCCATGTCTTGTGAGAGTACAACTGAAAGAATCAGACTACAGTATAAAACATTATGTCTTGTGCATACTTTTTACGGAAAGAGCCCTGCGAGTCACTTTATGCCACTTTGGGCTGAGAGCTAATTGTGTGCGCATATTTTTTATTTACTTTTCTGTCTGAAAAATATGTGATAGAAGGCAAACCATACATGCATGTGAGAACTAAGGATAGAAACTGTTTTGCAAGATGGGAACCAGTTGGATGCATTTTATTTGTCAATTTTTAGTAGTTTGAAATGTAGGTACCCCAGCTTTATTTTGTACGTAACCCTCAATTTGTTGTGTAAAATGATATACTAACAAATGAAGAGGGTAAAACATAGAAAAGTCTTAGTTAAGGTTTGTTTATCCAGCATAGCCATAGTTTTAGTCATGTTCATAAAAGACACCTAAAACACACTTATATTGTGATTAATGGGTACCTTATTAAACTGACCTCTGCGCAAGTATTTTTTTTGTTCTTTTCCGGTGTAACATTTACTTGGGGGTTTGTCTTTTGCGCGATGCCGTCCCTCACATCACTGTTGCCACTTTTGTGACCATCCCCTGTGGTGTAAAAGTGCCACCCATGCACCCTTCACCTCTCCATTGGCATCCACCACGGCACCAGCTGCACTCCAGCCGGTGCCTGTTTGGGCTTCAGTGGTGTCCTCCGTGTGCTCCTGCCCCCCCACACACTGTCCCTCTCCGGAGCTCCTGCCACTGTTCTGCATGCTCATGTTGTTTGAATGCCACATGATCCTCTGGGTGCTGCTGCTTGGCTCTCATCAGGAGAACTCACTGAATGGGTGCAGGCGAAATAGTCAAAATATTGAAATCTGAAAGAAAAAAAACATTAATGTAATAAGTTTATACTACAACTCTCTATGCACCACATGCCACAGTATTATTAAAATATATACAGTATGGATTCAAAAACACAATACACTTTTACATTATTTATTGCGGTATAAAACATAAATCGATCACTTTTGCTGTTGTTTTTTCTCATCAACAAATGATCAACAAGATGATGATGGTAAAAATTAGGAATGTCATGTAAAAATCTGAATCTGCAGTCGTTTAAAGGTAGTATTGATAATAGGGGAAGGCACATGTGAGCTTTCTGCTTCGGCCTTCTCCTTTTGAGCTTTGTTTCTTGAAATTATATGTACCTGTAAAAATACATTGTAAAACGGCTCAAATTCATTACTACTACTATTACTACTATATTCTGTTAACCCTTGTGTCATTTTACAGCAGCCAACAGTATGAATTATCTGTTGTTTTGGGCTGGAACTATTTTTATTGATTACTGAATGAATCCTTCGCTAACATCATCCAATATATTTTCTGAAACATGCAGACCCTAAGGGCGTGTTCTCACTTGTTGGTCTGGTTCACTTCAACCAATTCATAAAATGCTTTATTTGTGGATGTCGAATCTCCGAACAAGAGAACATTAAGGCAGTGTTATCTTTAGAAACACATGTGTGAAGATATGTTTTTCAAAATGAGCCAGATTTGCTGCAGTAAATTATTTTGATAATAGATTAGTTGGAGGATTATTAGTTGTTTTGATCCCGAAATCTCAGTGAATATAGGATTATCTTTAATTGATTTGACACTAACAAATCTCCCAGTCTCCATCTGCCCATGGAGACATTAGGTGGTTTTATAAAAAATACTTTGTAAACACATTTTTATTTTATCTTTAGTCATAAAACCTCAGTGTGTTTAAGGTGATGCAAGATTCAAAAAACAATGAATGATTTTCAATAATCACTGACTTGCAATAATAATCAAGTGTTACATACTTTTTGTAAAATATTTAGTATTGAGTAATGACTAAGAGATTTTAATATCATTAGAGCCTGACTGAAGATGTACTTTATTTGCCATTTAGCACATATTAGAAAGGTAAAAAGTTTAAAAGTTATTCAGAAATAATAAAGTGTAAGCCCAACCGTAAAAGTCATAATCGATACCATAGCTAATAAGGAGGTTGTGTTACTAGTAGCAACATAAGAACATCGCACAATAACTGTATGAAACACACACTCTTGTTAGATGTACAGTATGTTAACATGTGCACTGACCGGATCCCGCTGACATTACTTCTACATGTATCGCTCCTGCGGTGCTTTTATGTGCCGTGACAGATGAGAATGACTGTGGGTTATGAAGCTCCATACGATGTACTCTGCAATAACATACAATCAAAGACTAAATGACTTTGTCCCATCGGCAAATTCTGTTTTAAGTCAGAAAGTACTCAAATTAAAATAAAAACGACTCGATTCAAGCAAATGTTACCTCCTATTTTATCATTGTTTGCAGTTTATTGTATATTTCGCATTGACATTGTAACATTCCAAAGAGCCTATAGTTTAGTATACATAAGATAAATTACTAAAGATCAAGTGAAAGATACAGTTTAAAATAAACCTACCTGTTTGAATCTTGTTTTGTGTTATTTTGTTTGGTTTGGTTTAGTCTTCATTTGAGAGGGACAGTGCACAGCAAAGACAGATATGTTCAGCCCCAAATTATCATTTCAATCTGTAGTCCCCGGTTACATGAAAAAAACAACTACACAATAACACCAGCACACAAGACCATTTTTAATGGCCCCTAAAATGATTTTCAGTTATTATTACCTTGCAGCATTGTTGGTTATGGGCGCCCAAGGCATTTTATTTTATTCTAAAATGTTAACCCAACATGTTATGAAATAGTTAAATATAGAACAATGCGTTTAACTTTATATTTGGTCCAGTTTGAGTTAAATCCAAACAATAAACACATTTTGATTTCAGAAAAATTAAACCAGAAAATAATAGTGGAACTCACGGTCAAATAAAAGTAATATCAAAATACCTTCATAAAATAAAAAAAAGAAATCCCTTTTTTTCTTTCAGCCCCAGACCATTTCCTACTTTTATTTTAAAAAAAGCCTGACCAAAATGAGTTTGACCCTCCTGCAATAACATAACATGAAATTACAACAATAGGACACACACACACACAGCATCATATCTGTAAATTAAAATCAGTCTTAACAGTGTCTTAAAATATTTTGTTTACTTCTCTAACAGTTGAGCCCAGACGACTACAGGGAACAGGTTTACAACGCAGCGCCGCAAGAGCTGGACATTGACGTAAGCGCACACATACAAACGCCAATTTTATGCATGGTTGGAATCGTACTTGTTTCTGCATAGTGGATGAGGATGTGTCCGTTCCGTCCACAGGCCCGGCTGAGCAGATTGTGCGAGCAGGACAAAGTGGTGCAGACGCAGGAGGGCAAACTGCAGCAGCTGTACAGAGAGAAGGTGACGACACACAACACATCTGTCACAACTGCCTCCAACCAAAAGAGGCTCAGAAACTAAAATGGCATGTTTGTTCAGTCAAGCGCTGCACACGATTCGGGCTAAATTTGTTCAACTTTGTGTAAGCACTTAAAGAATAGCGACTGCTTTTTTATCAAGTCACAAACACACAATACACACACAACTCAAATAATGTTGACGTTTTTACTAAAGATTAGTGCTGTCCAACGATTAAAATATTTAATCGCGATTAATCGCATGAATTTCATAGTTAACTCGCGATTAATCGCAAATTAGTCACACATTTGCGTGCTGTGTGCAATTGCTTTTTTTATTGAAAACAATGTGTAGTGTTATATTACACACTAACATTTGATGCAAAATCATCAATAAATGGATGACAAAATAAATAATTGGTAACAAAAAGCCCCTTCAATGTGTGTGTGTGGGTGTGTGTGTGTATGTGTGGGTATAGACCATAGACTGTATAGAAACATCATGGTGTCATTATGATGATGATAAACAATCTGTAAATATTTTGTAAATTTGTTCATGAAAATACTCTATGCTGTTTCTCTGTTTACCTTCGGTATATCTATGACTGTATACTGTTTGCTTGTATTGCCTTTTTTATTAACCCGTCCCCCCATCTCCCACTTCATGCCCCCCCCCCCCCTCCCCTCCTATGTGCCCTTCTGGGTTTCTTCTTTGGCCCCCTGTATCTCCAACTACATATTGTTTGTAATCTCTGTCTACAATGTATCTGAACTAGTCCTTTTCTTTGTTTCTATTTTTTTTTCTGTATATGTGTTTGTCTGCAATAAAAAGTAAAGTATTGCGCGATAAAAAAAATGCGTTAATATTGATTTGCGTTAACGCGTTAATAACGCGCTATTTTGGACAGCCCTACTAAAGATACATGATTTTGTTAGCAACTGGATTTATATTTTTCTTACTTATTTAACAAATACTCCCACACTTACATTTCAAAGGCCCGAATATGTTTCTTGTTTCTTGCAAAAGCGTCCGATTGTGATTATTGTATAGGTTGCATTCTTGTGACATTGTAACATTTCAAAGAGCCTATAGATTAACAATGTGGTGGAGGGCCGCTGAAACATATTTCCTGGTAACTATAGTAACAAAAGTCAGACTTCCAGGGCAATCATTTTGTAATAAAAGTGTCTAGTGTTGACAGTATCCAAAATAGATATGCATGATATTGGCAATTTTCAGACATATATGAATAATATGCTATGAGACTTGGGTGGCATCTCTGATTGCCACCCCCCTGACCCAGAGATGGATTAAAGGGTAGAAAATGGATGGATGGATGGATGAATTATATGTGGGTTTGTGAATCTAATCACTATCAAATAATGATCTGGGAAAACATTCTTAAATAAAATATTATTTCTTAGCCCTCCAACTGAAGTAGAATTCAAGAACATGAATGCAGCCCATTGATGGTTTTGTTGAGGATGTATTGACCAGGCCATAACACAGAGGCAGGTTGGTTGGTAGGTAGGTTGGGTTGTTTTTTCAAATCTTCAAACATCTTCAAGCCATGAGTTGAAAACCATTGCCCATATGTACCAAATGCACATATTTTTTGAGTATCTTCCAAAAGTGTCCTTGCAAAACATGAAAGTTGAGGTGATGATTTCCCGTGTCTAGCTGCATGTGCATTTGATATGTTATGGACCCTACAGCACACTCTGGAGACGGCTCTTCTGTCGGCGAGTCAGGAGATCGAGATGGGCTCCGATCACCCCGCAGCTCTGGAGAGTGTGGTCCAGCAGAGGGACCTACTTCAGAGCGGCCTCCTCAGCACCTGCCGAGAGCTGTCCCGAGTCAGCGCGGTCAGTCACACATTATCTCATTAAACATTCATGAGCAGAAAGACCCCAGGAAGGAGAGTGACTGAACTTGGCTCATGGGGATCTTTTTAAACTAAACTAAACTAACATTATAGGCTGTCCACAAAGTCATACATAACCAAAACTCTAGTGTTGTCATTTCTCGTGTTTCACCGGTTTGATTCTCTGATCTTTATTGGTGAAATCAACGGTTTTGCAAAGTCCTCTGAGATAACTACTGTCGTGATTTAGGGCTATACAAAATTACATTTAATTGAATTGAATTATACAACATTTCAATAAAAACTAGAAACCGTTGCAATGGCTGAAGCCATTGCGATTGACTGCGGAACAGATCTAATGTGGAATTTAGCTGAAAAATCCTTGAAATCCTTGAAACTGTTAAAATACTTTAAACATCTTTGAAACTCCTGAAGTATTTGAAGCTCCTGATATCCTTTAAACTGTTATCCTTTATACTGGTTTTCATGTAAAAACCCCTATTAAGTTCCATTATACTGGTTTACATGTAAAAACCCCTATTAAGTTGCATTATACTGGTTTACATGTAAAAAACCCTATTAAGTTGCATTATACTGGTTTACATGGAAAAATCCCTATTAAGTTGCATTATACTGGTTTACATGTAAAAAACCCTATTAAGTTGCATTATACTGGTTTACATGGAAAAATCCCTATTAAGTTGCATTATACTGGTTTACATGTAAAAATCCCTATTAAGTTGCATTATACTGGTTTACATGTAAAAACCCCTATTAAGTTCCATTATACTGGTTTACATGTAAAAACCCCTATTAAGTTGCATAATACTGGTTTACATGGAAAAATCCCCATTAAGTTGCATTATACTGGTTTACATGGAAAAATCCCTATTAAGTTGCATTATACTGGTTTACATGGAAAAATCCCTATTAAGTTGCATAATACTGGTTTACATGGAAAAATCCCCATTAAGTTGCATTATACTGGTTTACATGGAAAAATCCCCATTAAGTTGCATTATACTGGTTTACATGGAAAAATCCCTATTAAGTTGCATTGTACTGGTTTACATGGAAAAAACCCTATTAAGTTGCATTATACTGGTTTACATGGAAAAAACCCTATTAAGTTGCATTATACTGGTTTACATGTAAAAACCCCTATTAAGTTGCATTATACTGGTTTACATGGAAAAAACCCCTATTAAGTTGCATTATACTGGTTTACATGAAAAAACCCTATTAAGTTGCATTATACTGGTTTACATGGAAAAATCCCTATTAAGTTGCATTATACTGGTTTACATGGAAAAATCCCTATTAGGTTGCATGATTACACTGAAGTCCTTGAAACTGCTGAAGTCCTTGAAACTGCTGAAGTCCTTGAAACTGCTGAAGTCCTTGAAACTGTTGAAGTCCTTGAAACTCTTGAAATCTTGAAACTGCTGAAATCCTTGAAACTGTTGAATCCTTGAAACTGTTGAATCATTGAAACTGTAGAAATGTCTGAAAGAGCTGAAGTCCTATTAAAATGCATGGGCCTATTAAAATGCATTGCAGAATTCTCAATGCAGATTTTTGTCCGATTGCGGAAAAACCGGAAATCGCTGAAGTCCCAAAAGTAATAGCAATAATCTCCCAAACATGTGGAACGTTTTGATGTATAACTTGTGGAAATTGTTGAAAATGTGAAAGCTGTGAAACGTGTCAAAAAAAATGACGGAATAAAGAAATACAAAACCAATGGTTGACTGCGGAAGGTTCCGCAGTCAATCAAAAATACTCAATACCAACTTTGATACCACAGCAATTACTTATTTATATGGGTGCACTGCCATTACTGTTATAGCAAGATTATGCTCAACCTTATTGATAATAGCTCTTATTAGACAGTAAATGTAAGTGTATTCAAAAAATGTCTATACTCTTTTGGGGCCATAAGGTTTGATGAAGTTGAAGTTCTTCTGATATGCTCTGAAATGTTTTGTCATTACTTTTAGTATTACTTCTGGCTCAAATTATCGTACCAGAAAACTACTCCAGCACTGTGCTTAAGTAGATTTTCTTGATACTTGAGTATTATTATTCGGACACCTCCTTACAACTCCTTACATTTAAACCCAAATATATGTACTTTCTACCTTGTGTTGATCAATAAGTGAAAAGTCACAGATGTATTACTAAAATGGCCTTCAAATGTAAAATGTAGCGTTGCAAGTCTTGTCTTCATTAAACTTTTACCACCTGCATCCTGAATATATCCGAAGATTCACTGGTCTCTTTTTCTGACACTAGGAGTTGGAGCATTCATGGAAAGAGTACGACCGACTGGAAGCAGAGGTGGTTCAGGCCAAGAGCAGTCTGCTGGAGCAACTGGAAGCACTGGGGAGTCCACAGGTACCAGCACCCACACTCTACCAAACCACCATTATCATCTCCATTTATTTTTGGAAGGCAAATAACGAGAAATCTCAAAAACACCTGAAGAAAAATGAAGACAGTCATCAACACTGCAGAGGGATATGTGTCAGACAAAGTAGTTCCTTTTGTGTGTGCGTGCCGAGGCCTCAAAGGCACAGTGCGGAGGAGTAACCCAAGAATTCAAAGAAACCTTGTGAGAGATTGACAACACAGGAATTATGGCGCAGGTCTTCTTAATTAACTTGGTGTTTTATCTGTGTCCTTCATGATGGAGAAAAGTGTGGAGGCGGAGTGGCAAGTTTTAAAAGTATGAGCCAGTACTCAAGAGTTGGCAATATCTTTCGTAATATTACTACGGTATACAGATGAACCAAGAAAAATAGATCTAGGCCAGTTTGAATCTGGTCTATTCTGTGTTCTAATCAAAATAGTTTTACTGAGATCATTTGCCATTCTTACGAACTTGCAGAATTGATCTTAAAAGGTTAATATGTCAATATCAATGTCCATCTCAACTTTAACTGCACATTAAGAACACCAGCTGTCCAAAGTGCTTCAGAGGCGCTACTATGGCATGCTATACATAATTCTAAGGCTTATTTTCTCAAGATTACAACCATATAACGGATATATATTTACCGTTTCATATGTCAGTTTGATACAGCAGTCTGCAATACTCAACCATGTTCATATGTCCAGTTTTGGTTTAGTTCTAGCATAACTGAACTCATTTTGTTTTGAAATATCAATGAGCAAATGATATGATATAATAATACTTTATTTGGAATACATTACCTCGATAACTTATGATATAGATATAAAACAATAAGCACAAATATATTAGGCAAAACATTAAAAAAAAAAATATCTGAGAGGACTTTTCTCCTCCTTCCTCTGAGATAAGTCCTCCGAGGTTGTTGTGATTTATGGCTGTGATTTATTACCATACTATATCGTTTTTTAGATTTGGCCCCAGAAAATGACTTTAACACCCACTGTTCATGCAGTTGTTTACATTCCACTGCACTCAATTCAACCTGTACTGGATCCAAATCTAGTGTTGAAAATCCACTTGAAGAAACTTTATTTTCTGGATGCTTCTGTCGTTTATTTATTCAGATGGAGCCCCCTAGTCAGCAGCATGTGCACATTCAGAAGGAGCTGTGGAGGATTCAAGATGTGATCGAGGCTCTCAATAAACAAAAGGCTCAGAGAAATGCGAGTGACAGCACAGGCATCCACGGAGCCAAGAACAACATCAGCAAGCAGAAAAATGAGGTGGGTCATTGTTAAATGTGGATATGATTGAGTTTGCTTTGGGAAACATAAGTTGCGTGTTTTAGGAGAGGACTGACCCAAGAATGTGGAGCCAAATGTATGCAGTTGTTGTTGTTGTTAAAAGCGGCCAGTGGGGACAGACCGGGCTTAGGCCTGATTGGCGCTACTCATTGCTTAAGTCCAAATCAGGAACAGAAGGCTTCTGATTGGTCAGTTGATTGGACTCATGTCTGGGTTTGCAAAGACAATATCAGAATATAAACACCAGGATGACAGAGAGTCCAAAATGGTGAGAGTTACACAAACAGTTACTTAGCTGAGTTTACTTTTCAATGTAAGTCCATGAGCACTTATTGCCCCTGTTGGACTTCTGTGAGCTAGAGGGTTAGTGTTAGCGTTGTCCATATATATATATATATATATATATATATATATATATATATATATATATATATATATACATACACAGTCAATGGTCTATATACAGTCTATGGTTGCACCTGTGAAACTTAAATTGTCATTTTAATCCTATATGGAGAAGACACACTTTCACGTGGCAATGTCCAAAGTCTCAAAGCAAGTTTTTTTTAATAGCACAATTCCTTCACAGGGCAACTCAAAGTACAAAAAAATAGGGGACAAATCATCACTCAATCAAGATACAGAACAGAACAAAGAAACAGACAAACTTTAAAAAGGGGTTTAGCTATTCAACATAAAGATGATTTGAAAAAACAGGTAAAAAAATGACAGGAACAAAAGCAACAGGAACACAACACAATACCATAAAGGGACTGGACAGAATTCAAATAAACATAACACAAGTAGTTTGTTCAACGAGTTTTCATTGCTTTTTTAAAACCTTAGGCGTAGAATACAGAATGCACACTGTACATGTGCCCTTGAACTCGCTACAATTTCACACACAAACACAATCTTTTCTACATGTTTCACTATGACTGAAATATCCGACCTACTGGAGGGTGACTGGTGTCTTGCCTGCACACGTCAGTCTGTGTGTGTGTGGTGTCGTGCTAATCAGCTGATGTGCTGGGATTGGTGCACAGAGTCACAGAGCCAGATGGTTGCCCCCAGAGCGTGGCACAATGTGTCACTGTCCTCCCTGTCATCCCCTGTGTAATCCCCAGGAGGAGGAGGACTCGGTGCCCCCCCGGCCGCCCCTCCCTCAGTCCTACGAGCCCAACCCCTCCACTCCTGTGCCCCCCACGCGCCCCTCACTGCAGCGGCCTGAGGACAGGAAGAGCACGCACAGGAATGGCACTCACACTGTAAGCCCCTCATGGCTGACCCCATCCTCAGCTGTCATCACAACCCATGGACCCTGTTAATGCTGTCACTTTTCACTTTGGCATTTTACTTTGGATCTTCCCCTTTTGACTTTTATTGGATTGGATTTTTGTTTTTTTTTGTGGTCTGTTCTGTTTTGTTTCTTATGCATGTTTTTGTGTCATAAAACACATCGTTGGTTTGAATCCATCCGCCTTTTATGATTTAAATGAAGTAGGCATAATTCTTCCTTGTATATTGAGTCTGATTATAACATTGTATTGACAGAGCACGGATTACAGACTGTACAAAAGTGAACCTGAACTCACCACAGTGACCGAAGTGGATGAAAGTAACGGAGAGGACCGATCCGAGCACGCATCTGACAGAGACCACTCTGGGAGCAAAGGTGCCCAGAATAATACTTTACTTTACTTTATTACAAATCCATTCAGTAGCTAATTGCTCTAAACTAAATATTATGCTTCCTTCAGGGGTTTCCTACCCTGTCGGCATAGTCCCTCCCAGGACCAAATCTCCAGTGCCTGACTCGTCCTCCATCGCCTCATACGTTACTTTAAGGAAAGGAAGGCGACCTGATTCAAGAACAGTGAGTTTATACATTGAAATGTAATGTTGAATTTAGGAGCGTTTTTTTTTTTTTTTTGACTCACTTTTTTAAACCAATTCCACTTTTTTTTCCCAATTACCCACTTTTATGACACTTTTTCACCTAATGGATTTGGGCTGTCTAGAGCTTTGAAATTAGATGTGACATATGTGTGTCCATATTGAGTAAGTTACCAGAATTATCTATCATGCGTATATTATCAGTGTGGAAGTTGGCTGGATGATATTGTGAAGTTGTGTTTATGAGCTCATGATGATGCTGATTTTTTAGACATGGATTTTAGATGTGAGTTATAATGCTGATGATAATAACATTGGCGAAGATAATGTAATCAACAACTTTTATGGTGAATATGGGTGAAATTTTGGAAATCTTCTGTTTCCAAAATGTTTATATACTCATGCGATATGTGTTCTTTCTTCTATTTTCTTTGCTCATAAAACAGGCCCACTTGCCAGACATGGTCAGGGTGTGACTCTCGTGCTCAATCCGTGCAGGCTATAATAAAATTGTCATGGTTGGCTTACATTTTCCAGCTTCAGTTACTATCAACTTTTCCGAGAGCTCGTGTTATTAGTGAACCACAGGGTGTGCCTTTTTCAGTTCTCTATATTTAGTTAAATTACTTCAGAACAGTGTATAAATAAATTGTAAAAATCAGCTGGCCATCACTTGATGTCTGTGGTCTACTGAAATAGAACTGGTTAAAAATAAACAAGGGGCCCCTATAGAGGTCAGATGGACTTTTGGCATGTCAATGTTTGTTACTTTAGTTTTTAAACCATCAAAAAAATGTATGGTTGTTGAAACATTGTGTTTGTTTCTGTTTTTTTGTCAAGTTTTAGTTTGATCCTTTAGTGGGGCTGAAACTGACTTGTTTTTCTAGATCTTGTATTTAAAAAAATTGGATTTAATTATAACAACTGCAAATAAGATATATGTACAAGGGCCAAACATAAACACATACGTAAAGACACGTTTAGGGCCAAAAGAAACAAAATATGAACATTTCCACAACTCAACACATAAACCTCAGCTAATCCATCCTCCATAAACAGTATGCACTATTGACAAGACGGCAAGTGAGGGGGCTTCCACCATGTAGCAACCATCATTTATATGCTTTGTTTGTGGTTGTTTTTGATTTGCCTCCAGTGCAGTTTCAGTGTGACCTGTGGGTCTGATACTGATGTAATAATTTGTAATAGTTGCTTGGCTGACTCTATAGTCAACTAGTCAACAGCATATTTGTGAGTCGCCCAACGATCTATTGGGTCGACTACAGTCCTAAACTCTGTCAACTCCAGAAAATAAGTGTCTTTAATTTTTGTAAGTCTGTTGCAAGAATGAAAAAATCACACATAATGATACAGTATTAACATCTTTACTTTCACCAGGAGCGTCCGCGCAGTGCCGTGGAGCAGCTGACCGCAGGGGACAGTGGACGGCCTCGCATGAGTGTGGAGGAGCAGCTGGAGAGGATCCGCCGTCACCAGCAGGCGGCGCTGCGGGACAAAAAGAAAAGCCAGGGTGCTCGCAGTGGCAGCCTGGAGAGCACGCCCACACGCAGCCAGTCCTTCACCAAAGAAAATCATTTACGCAGCATGCAGGTATTGAACTCCTGGCCTGGATGCAGACAGATGCTGGAAGCTAAAAGTGCTGTCAGTGTGCAGCATTTGTTGGTGTTGTTGCGGTTCAGTGATGGAGGGGAAAAGGAAGGAGTCTTTGGATTTAGTTGTGTTTTCATGATAAATACCAATAACATGTTATGTTTATACATTTACTACTCTACTATTCTATAGCATACATTGACTATTGTTTCACGAGTTGTTCAAAACTATAAGCGGCGGAAATGCTTGCACTATTGGGTTCCCCGCGCAAAGAAACTCCAATAAAAATCCAACTTGAGCATTAATACAATGTGATTCACAGATGTATGTACACACTTAATCAAATAAGCAAAGCAATGTAGCCTGACATTAGACTGACTGAAAAAAGTCAGAGCCAAAAGCTCTATGGCAGCACTGAGGTGATTATTCATTCTGTCCGAAAGTACAGGAGAAGCGCCCATCAGGGGTCTGAAGCATGGCTTTGAACCAGAACCAGACAAGGACTAATCCTAAAGCTCACACCGTGGGGCTGCTCAATGAGCTTGTGTTTCTGCCCAGACCCATGAAAGGTCAGAGGGAACATTGAGTGTAACGATTAAGAATATAATAATTTTGGTACCATGCACTGGGTATGATCTGCTTTTAGCCCTTTAGTCCTTCAGCTACATGTTAATGAAGGAACAGCTTTATAGAAGGATTATAAACTCATCAAAGTTGATTTGACATAATATGCCCTTTAACATATTCTATTATCCATGTCCCCAACTCATAAAAGGCCTGTACACTGTTATGATGTAATGAGAGCCATCACTTGTCCTTACAGTGGATTTGTGACTTTTTCTCCAGTCGCGGCGCAGGGATGATGTGGTGAGCTGTGACATCCAGGCGCTGGAGGCTTCGCTCCGGCAGCAGGAGGTGGTGAGAGAACAGGAGACCCCCGCTGAGGAAATAGCCCGTCTCAAAGAAGCCTCGCTCACCGACCACTTCAATGTGGACCGAGAGGTAACAAGGGACCTTAACAATCACTCTTCGCTCTTACATCGGTCTCTCTTGAGTTATGAAACCTAATAGTTTGCAAAAAAAAAGAAAAAAGGATACTAAAATTAGACCAAAGACTGTTATAATCCTTGTTTTCCTCATACACACTAAAAGTTTCTTTTATAACAATTAGTGCATGTTTCCAGTTATATTCATTCTTCATTGCTCAGCCTTGCAAAGATGTACTTTGCAAGACTTTGGAGAGTACTTTGAAACCACAAACATCATATTTGAGAGGTACATAAATAGAGCGGAGTTGAACGCAAGCCACAGATTTTAATTTAACCGAAATGGCACAAAAAGCTCTGAGGACACTAAAGCCGTGTTCATCATACGTTGCGTCGGCTTTCAATGCAAAGTCAATGGTGACGCGCGTTCGGGCGTCATAACGCATGAGCGTCTCGGAATGCACGCACGGACTGTGCGGGGAAGTCGAAGGGGAGGAACGCAGGAGATGAATTTTGCTCAACCTTTCCTTGGGACGTTCGTGCAGCAACCAATCAGAGAGCCGCAAAGTGGTCACGGGGACATTAGCGGTCTGAGCGAGCAGACAGAACATATTGTAAACAGCCAAAACAGGAGCTACACCAGGACTAAACCAGGGTTGACAATGGGGGACATAGTGCTTGTTAACATGTGAGTTTTCATGCTCCCGTGACTTTATGCAACTGCTTCGAGTGTGTTCGCCGATGCGGAAGTACCGTTTAATAATAAAATTACTTATTACTTATTGATTGTTAACTTATTGCGCACCTCCGTGAACACATACTACTGTTATATAAAGCCCGTGGAACGTCTCCGAACACAGACACGCTGCAAAGCTGTATTTTTGGAGAAGATCTGTACACAAGAAGCCGCTAGCTAAACTCTGTTAGCATCAGAGCCCGCCGGCTACTTCCGCCACTTCCGGCGCGTGCCAGGACTTCTGGTCTGAAGACTAGAGAATGTGTGTTTCAGCGTTGGCGGTCTGAAAGCACCATAACATTGAACCTTAATATTTGTGGAGCTCACTAAAGTCTTGTATTTTGTCCTGCAGAAAGTGAGCCTAACCATAACTCTTACCGTATCCCTAATTACATTTAGCCGCTTACCTCAGGACGACATACTAAGAGACTAGTCAGACCTGGAGGATGCTATGCTTACCACAGCTGTTAGCTTCCATGTCAGCAATTATGGCAATGAACAAAGTTCTAAAAAGACATTAGCTGGTTGGGAGTATGGAGTGTTATTTTGACAAATAATCAGTTTTTTAACACGGGTCTGGATTCAACCAAGACTGGGCCAATTATATGAAGAAGAGATCTGTAATTTAAGAATGTTAGTAAAAAAATAAAATAATTAAGTAACAATAACTTCTAATTACCTTTTAGTTAACATTTTAGAACATTTTCAATGATGTGGTTGTTTTCCTGAGACAAAAGGCTTAATAAGTGTATTTTAAGTATAACATGCTATAGTAGCCCCTTACCATCAATGCTGCAAGTTACTGTGATAAAGATAATTGAAAATCATCTCACGGGCTTAAAAAAATTGTCTCGCGGGCCGGATTTGGCCCACGGCCCTGAGTTTGACATGCCTATCCTAGCATTTTACCGTTCTTTATCGACTCTAAACGTCACACAGCTTAGAGTCCTAAAAAACGCCTGAAAGTTACTCTGCTTGATTCAGTGTTTGTTTACAACAGCACTACGGTAGCCGCACTTCTGTGGCACATCTTCCTGGTTCCCATTGTAATGAAAAACAGAGATACAGCAAATTAAGTTTTTCTATATAAACTGTTGGCTGTGAGGCCCTTACAGTAAAACAGTAGTACTTGTCAAAAATGTAAACTTATAGCAAACTTCTTAAAATATTTTTTCCCCAAAATGAATTAGTCTCTCTGAAGTAGTAAATGAATGGCATAAGTTGGATATCACTGGACAAGTGTCTGTATTTGATAATAATCTTCTTAATACTCTTTTACAGCTTTCTGTGCCTGATAAAGTGCTGATTCCTGAGCGATACGTTGAGCTGGAGCCAGAGGAGGCGCTCAGTCCTGAGCAGGAGGCTGATAAGCAGAGAAAAGTGGACCGCATCAAAGCCCTCATAGCCAAAAACAGGTAAACACCGTTGGCCTGTCCGCAGACAAGCCTCCCTCTGCAGGAGACGGCCTTTGATATCTGGGAAGCAGCCTCTGTGAAGGGACTGTCTCCAGAGCAGAGCACTGATATTTCCCATAGCTGTCATGCATGAAATTCTCTTTAGAAGTGAAAGGTAAGGTTCAGGTCAGTGCAGAACCTCAGCAATAAGAAATAAAAGTGCCTGCCTGTATTTTCAAAGGAAATTATTTTAAACGTGCATTGTTGATCCCCCAGATTTGACATTTTATTGTCAAATGTCATCTGCTTTACTATTTGCTTGGGGGTAAGGTCTTTTATAATTAATCTTGGTCACTGCATATGACTGGAAATGTTTCTTTTTGTGTTTGTGCTTACAGCATGCAAAATGTGCTGCCGAGTCTTGCTTTAAGCCCAGAGGATGTGGCTGAGGAGGAGGTTACAATCCAGGAGAAGGAGAAGATGATTAATATCTCGTACGAGATAGCAGCCGAGGCCTCCAAACGCAGCAAACTTGTAGCAGGTATATCCCCCAGAGACACGCACACGCACGCACACACACACACACACACTGCATTGTGTTGTATCCGAATGCTGTGCTACTGCTGCCATTGCTCAAGCTCTCTCAGAATTTCTTTTACAACTTGAACTCACTGTGGGTTTTGTTAAGCAACTTTTCTTTTCATATTTCAAGTTGTGGGCTAATTTAGTTAGTAGCTCTGAAGCAAGTTTGTTTTGTGAATGTATTTGTTTATTTACGTGAGCTTGTGTGTTGCTTTGTTTTGTTGCAGTGAGGAGCCTGTCTGCCTCCTCCCCACCCCAGTCTCCTAACTCACCCCCTCAGCTCATTGACGGCTCTCACTTCATGTGTGTGTAATAACACCAGTAAGGGACATCAATATATGACACCTTGTTACGTTGTTAATACTTTGTGCATGTGTGGTAAAGAAGGAAAAGGCAGGCGGAGATTTGCATGTTAGCTTATATAATATTTTAGCATGTCTCCTATTTAATTAGACATTGAAACAGGTTTGCATTTTGAATGGGATCATGCTTTTTATTTATTGAGTGACATTCTGAATCTAAAAATGTTCTGGTCCGTGTGTATTTGTTCTCATTGTACATGTTAAAATATACTTATGTTTGACTACTATTACTGTACAAGCATCATATACCGGTAACTAAGAATATTGAATCTGAAAATGTGTGTTGTTACAATACTAACTTTCCAACTCAATTCTTACACTAGAAAAAGACTCAAAACCTATTAAAAAAACAGAGCAATTATTTATAGATGCTATTTTTGGAAAGAAAATAAATATATATAAATATATATAGCAATGAAAAAACTGGGGCCACACAGTTATGTGAAATTGATCAAAACACTTAAGAAATGTCATATGCGGTACTGTTTATGTCATTTTGTGTAGTATCCATACTTTTGATACAAGTTTAAGTATCCATTAATACCTTATTTCTAATACTTTTGACAATCCTACCCAAAATACATAGTACCATCCATTCTTTTTTGAGCTGTCAATATTGTCATGACACAGGCCTAGTGACAAAAGTGTGGGCAAATCTTTTATGTTGACACCATACTGCTTCAACCACCTATGCTTACTCCAGGGTTAATTACATCAATCACTATTGTCAACAGAATGTAACTTGATTTTTCTTGTCTCTTCTGCAGCACAGGCGTTGGCCTCTGTCAAAACCTACACATGAGGCATGTGGCCCCTGAGTAACATGGCCCCTGGCCCCAGCTTACAGAGCGCTGCAGCCTCCTGTTTGCCCACTGTGACATCCAGCTCTTGTTTTAACACTGTTCACTTGATTCTCTTCCCTAACGTGTGGAAACACAGCTTTGCCCATCCTTCACGCAGTCTCATTTTCATTTATTTATATTCTCTGTTCCTGTTTGAATATATGAACTCACTTTATATGTACATATAAATCACTATATGAAGATGAAGGACGATGCTCTGTAGTGACAGATTTATGACTGTTTTGCAAGATTTTATTTGAGTTTGATTTGTTTTTACCACATGCTTTTCACCGGGTCATTGTATTTATGCTTTAAATTTGTGTCAAAAATCTGCCTTCCCATTGAATATGTCATACCATTCTTGAGTTACTGTAAAACAGCAAATAGTGTATAAAGTTATATTTACCTTCATAATATAAAAAGTCACTATATACATAATACATATGTGTAAATATGTGTGTAATATGTATATAGTGACTTTTTGATATGAGAAATACAAATAATTACTATTACTATATATCATTTACTACAGACTGTTATTTGGTATGAAAGTATTAAAAAAAGTTCCCTGTCACATTATTGCTTACCTTTAGAGTATGTGAATGTTTTAAATGCAAAAGAGTATATTTAAACTTTAAGCAAGAAAAATCAGATTGGTTATATTTTGAGATGTTTGATGTCCTGGATCTTTAAAGAGAAAAGCTCAGCACACGTGAGAAGCAATAAAGTGTTGTAATCCAGGCCTTCCTTTTGTGTGTACAAAGTGTAATTATAAGAGGTTTACAGTGTATATATTGTACAATGGTGCAACATGACGGCGATGTGTACATGTATCCAATGGATGGCTATGTTAAACATTTGACCTGCTTATGTTCATATCCCATCTGTTTTATATCATGTTGAATAAATGTTTTTGTTCTTTAAACGTGTGTGGGCTTGAGGTCTGTGATATTTTATTCAGTTCTGTTCTTAGTATTTGCATCGTTTGTTTGTGGTCCGTGTAGGAGTGTTTGCATAGACGTGTTTATGTGTGAATGGTTTCTTCCTTAATGGAGGTTGAAAAGCACATCAACATTAAACATTTATGAAGATTACATAACAAGCTAAGAAAATCAGAACTGCATGAACGGGCCTCCAGTGAGACCCAAGAGTTAAGATTAATTGCAAGGCTACAGCTCCATCTTGTGGTGTAATGGCAGTACATAACCTGTAAGCTCCTTTCGTCAATGGCATTGGTGTACTTCATCCATGCAGCATTTAATTGATGAATAATCATATTTTTATAATAGCACTGTAACCAGTAAGAGTCACCCAATCTCTGATCTAATTTTGAGACATGGTTTTGTTCGCTGTTAACATTAAAGGCTTTCTTTGTGAATAAAATAAAAATCACTTCATTTGTACCATGAATCTGTCACCCATTTTGTTCATCTATCATAGACTGTATATAGAGAATTTAAATGAGGTCTAAGAACACTGTTTTTTTTTAAATTATAAAACATCTTTTGTCATGTTTTGGTGGGAATTTTTTTTAACATCGGATAACGGATGTAAAATAGCACTGTGGCTAATTCTGGTGCATCTATGATCTACAGTCATATTATTATGAACATACACTGTACCCGTACCTGTCTTATAACGATTAAGTAAACGCGTCACTAAAAAGAACATGGATACATAACACATTTAAAACAGTCTCCTTACCCTATAATAATTTACGAGGAATAAGTGTAGAATAATATATGTACATAAAGGAAAAAAACGGATTTACAGTCTACGGTAAGTTGACGGAAACAAACGGGAAGTTGAATCAGTGACGTCACAGCCCCCCTCGTCTCTGTCCAATCAGAGACCGCGCAGCTCAGTTCGCAGCAGCAGAGGCTGGAGGGCATCTGACGGAGCCCAAACTACAGCACCGGTATGGCCGCCACCTCCTCCTCCACCTCCACCTCAGAGGAAGCCCCCGCTGACGGCGTAGAGCAGGAGCCTCCGGCCAAACAGCAAAGCCGACGCACGGAACACGAACAAGGGCCGTGTGCTGCGGAAGTGGAGCAGCCCGAGAGCGCACGAGCCCAAACCGAGGCCACCGGTGAGCACGAGCCCGCGGCTGAAGCAGAGAAGGCCGCAAAGGAACCAGTGACACCCGGGCAAGCACCTGGAGCGGACACCCCCTCCCCGGAGCCAAAGCACCGCGAAGCAGAGCCACTGGTTCGCCCTGCGGAGAGGAACAATGACAGTCCCGACGCGAAAGAAGCTAAAGAGGAGCCAGGAGGAGAGGAGATGGAGTGTGACAAGAGCAAAGCGGAGGACGCAGAGAAGTCCAGCAGCGCGGGCGGAGAGATGGCTGACAAGAGACGGCCAAGTGTGGAGATCTCCTCATCAGACGGAGAACCGCTCAGCAGAATGGACTCCGAGGACAGGTGCGTCTGCGAGTGAAGGAGATGTCTGTAAAGCACGTCAGCTAACAACGATGCCATGTGTACTTGTGTATGCGTAGTGGTAAAGCAATAGGTAATGAGTGAGATATTCCAGATGCATTTTTCCACACCTGGAACCTAACTTAAACCAAAATAATCAACACATGTTCAGTATGGTGAATTCCCAATGCTGAACTAAAGCATTCTAAAGCCTCTAACCCTGGTTAAGAATGACTCAGAAACCAGCAAAAGACAGATTTTAACTAATACGTTCGTGACAAGTAGCAATTTAAGTGAAAATGGCAAAGGATTTCCTGAAGCAACCAGAGTATTCCTATTTTTAAAAAACTGCTCAGCCTCAAAGGTTGAAAGTTTTATAAATGGCCTACAGTAATCCGATTAACATGTCTCAAAATACTCATAATGTCAACACTGTTAAATTCTGTGTCACTAAGAACTTTGAAAACATCTGGTTATAATTACAAGATGTTGAAACAAAGCCAGATTTCTGCATGGAAACAGCAGTGCCTATAGTGGCAGAGAGTGGCATGCATGAAAAATTAGCCAAGTCGGAAGTCTTCCACGCACACTGGCTGCTTGATGTGTCTGCTCATGTCTGCACCTGTCACTGTAACGATAGAGTGCAAAGCCACGTCGACGATTAAGATGGATAATATTTGCTGGTGCTCATATAATAGTGATATAATGTTGTCTTTCTCTTAGTATTAGCAGTACTTTGATGGAGATGGAGAGCACAGTGTCCAGTGGGCGCTCCACCCCTGCCATGATGAACGGCCAGGGCAGCGCTGGTTTGTCTGGGCCTAAGAACGTGGCTTACCCGTGTTGCTGGGACCTCTGCCCGCAATACTTCAACTCCAGCCCGGACCTGGCCGAGCACATCCGGGGTATCCACGTGGATGGACAAAGAGGAGGGGTCAGTATGAAGCTGATAATGGGCTAAGACATGTATTAACACAATTTACAATTTACAACTTTTGACATTTTGTTGTCTGTTAGATGTCTTGTTTAATTTTCTTACTTTTATATTACGCATCACAATGTTGCAACTTGACCATACCAGCTTTTATGTTTAAAGCAATATTGAAATTATCTGATTAACTTGATTGTGTGTGTTCTGCAGGTGTTTGTCTGTTTGTGGAAAGGCTGTAAAGTCTACAACACGCCCTCCACCAGTCAGAGCTGGCTCCAGAGACACATGCTGACCCACAGCGGTGATAAACCCTTCAAGGTAAACTCAATCCTTAAATAAAGTGCACCAGTGTTTTGACTCAATCCAATGTATAATTTGAGTACAAGGATTATAAATGATTGTTGTTCTACATTAAATGAATTCTATGATGTTTGTCTTCAGTGTGTGGTAGGTGGCTGCACTGCCAGTTTTGCGTCCCAAGGGGGATTGGCACGACACGTTCCAAGTCACTTCAGCCAGCAGAGTTCCTCCAAACTGTCCAGTCAGGCCAAACTCAAGGAGGAGTCTCCTTCAAAAGCAGGTCTCAACAAGAGGAAGAAACTCAAGAACAAGCGCAGGTGCTCTCTACGTAAGTGTGAAAACTTGCATACTTCTATGCACTAGCGGTAGAGCAGCATTTCTGTGTGAAAGGTATTGTGTGAGATCTCCATCCAATGAGAAGGAGTCAAATTCATTATTTGGATAAACAGACAATCATGGAAACAAAGTAAAATGCTAAATTCTGTCGAGTTGGATTATTGATTATGTTTTCCAAGCCTTATTGTTATTCTTCTACATAAAGCTAAAGTTACTCATTCTTATGAACATTATGAGATCTATTAATAGTATACCTGATCTGTGTTCTTCTAGCTCGTCCCCACGACTTCTTTGACGCCCAAACGATGGACACTATCCGTCACAGAGCCATCTGTCTAAACCTTGCAACCCACATTGAGAGTGTGGGCAACGGCCACAGTGTGGTCTTCCACAGCTCAGTGAGTGCACGTTCTCCCTGTTTCACTACACAATCTAACAATAGATGCCAATCAAGTATTTAGCTTAGAGATAGACGTGGTGGGACGTTTGTAAAGGCGGCATAAATAAGACTGAAAGCATTTGGCCGAGACAGTTGTTATGAATCTTAATTAGTTTTGTTTTCAGTCCTGAGGGCCATGAAAAGCCTGGTAGTTATAATCCCAGTCTTTCTCTTGCACTCAAAGTGAACCCAAAGTGAACCCTGTGCGTTGCCTGAAGGCTTCATGTTGTTTTCTCAGAATGGTGTTTGATGGAACTGACAATAGATTTGTTTTTGTGTTAAATATGAACCCTGTCTGACTCAGTGATGCAGTTAAAAAAACGTTGACGCGTTTTTCTCTAAAACAGCACTTGGTGGCGCTCTTTGGTGTGAAATGTACTCTCACACTCTCAAGAGTCCTAACTGCTTCTCATCATTCCCACTTTGCGTTCAGTGTAGAAAATTACAAAGCAATACAGCCAATATTTCTAAAGTGTGTTTGATAATTATCAATGAGCTCCTTTTTTTTTTTTTTCATTTGGACACTGACAAATATGTAACCTTTACTTTTCAATAGCGGCACCTTTCAGCTTAAATTCACTTCAAATAACTGTATCCGTGAGGAACTTCATTTGCAGACAGAGTACCTGTGGGGATACATAGAAACACAGATATAATATACAATAAAAGTGCAGAAAAGCAGTATAAAACAGATCATAATCTTCTGCCTCTCGAATCACCTCTATTGAACTATTGAGTCAAAAGTGAAAAAGTTAAGATGAATCCTGGGAGAGGTTAAGCGAGATAACCCTGTGGGAGGCAAAGGAGCAGCAACACAAATGGAGCAACTGGCAGAAGTGGAGGATTAACCCGGGTTAAGCATGGGTCAGCTTGGCCTTTGGGAACAGTCTACTCTGGACAGTGGGCATGTATTCGTCTTTGTTTAACCCTCCGGAGCAGTGCAGTGGGGGGCTCTACGTCAGATCTCTGTCCCATGTGGAACCTCCTCGTGCTGAGTCGAGGAGGCAGACACGAGGGTCCTGTGGAGATTGGCCAGCCCCACTCAGTCATGTTTATCTGGGGTTATTTTGTTATTCCTTCAATCTGCGTCATGCATGGTCCAACCCCTGACAGCAGACAGCCACCCACTTTTAGCATGCCTGCCCTTCTCACTGTTTAGTCAGAACCTACTTTCCTCACTCTTTTCCTGTCCCGACTCCTTCCAAAATCCTGCGGGGTAAATCAGCCATCAAGGCCTGTCCCTTCGAGCAACAGCGAATTCTTCTCATAAGTCATATAGCCCCGTTTAGAAATACACTTTGGTCAGTTTTGTGCCCACAGGGTCAGTTTGATGCAGGGTGTGAGACGGTGACCTCATGGTGTCACTGGCCTAAAGCCGCAGGTTAACTGCTGTCGTGTGTGATTTAATTATGAGAAGGCCGGACAGCGTGGCCCATAGTGACCCCACTCTCCTCACGCACCAATGGAAAAGTCTGCACGGATGTAGAAGGCAGACACAGGGCTATCTCAGGCTGAAAGGGTTGAATATTAAAATGTGGATCCATTACATTTCACTAATTGAATGTGCTGTACTAAAGCATCCGGTAGTGCAGCACAGTAAGCATCAAAATACTTCATATGAGTATCTCCAAAAGTAATGAAATGGTTTTTTTTATGTAATAGTATATTGACAAATAAACTATTATTATATATTTTTAAATAAAGATTCGTTTAATCTTAGTATTTGTGTGACCCAAATTTTTTTAAGTGTTTACTTCCAAATTCAACACACAGTAATTAACACAAAGTAGTACAGTGATTTATATTTGCTCCGTTTATAGTACATCATGTTCAGTTTATACCTCCACATGTACACGCCAAAGATCAAACGATTGCAATCTCAACTTTATTAGTAGACGGCAATTATTGACGAATGATTTAAGCGTCAGACTCTGGTGCTGTCATTAGCAGTGAGAGACAGAAGAGAAGTTACATGTCCTCATCTTTCACATGACAAATACATAAAGGGTCTTTGTGTTCAAGCAATTTAATCCTGTCTAGAATACATGTTTTACAAATCAAGAGATCAGTCGGTATGAGACCAGGCCTTGGGGGTTACAATTCTAACAATTCTAACAATTCAAGAGTATAATAATCAAGCAGTGACAGGAAAACTATCCTGGTTAAAAGTGATGGGCTGTAACATCCGATTATTTTTATAATCAATTAGTTGGTCTATCATTCATTCGATTTAATCAGTTTTGTTGTTTGGATCTAAGGCCTAATAATATGGGATTATAGATTCAACGAAAATGTGACTTTTTATTCACATTTTCATTGTATTCAGTTGTGGAGCTTGGATCTCAGTGTTGTTCAAATAACGATTAATCGGGTAGTTGTGATTAATCAATGAACTTTTTGTTTCAGCCCTAGATAGTTTTTCTCGGGCAGTATGTAGGAATTACAAAGCAGAGGACGAGTGGCCTATTTTAGTATCTACGTCACAGAGGAACCAATCCCTGGTGCCCTCAAACCAGTTTCCATCAATGCCACAGCCCTCCCTCGAGTCATCCAAGTCATTTCAGTTATTCATGTGCCAAGTAGTTCCTCATTTGTGAGCTCATTCAGACCCCTAAATATAGGACAAAAAATCCAATTGACGCAAGAGATCCTATCAGCGGCTATTTCCGACAGTTCTGCTTATTTTTCCAGCCTTCGCTTCTATAGACTAACGATGTTTGTGCAGATTCCTGACCAGCTTTACAATAAACCAGAGCAGCATGATGAATATGTTTGGCATGGAGTGAGACGGGGCTATCCTGGAAATATTCTGCGCACTGTACAGTGTAGTCTTAACCCAACACAGTACAGATGGCCATGTACACGTCATTTATTAGTCGACAATGACAATAAAGGTTAGATAGATTTGTAGATTTGGACCAGAAATACATTATTGAGGGCTCAGTCCTCCATAAACTCTACATGACGCTGTTGTACAGTACTTAATAAAAACTCTTCAAGGGAAATCAGAATATTGAAACAAACATTTGATATTCCGGAATCTTAGATTTTTCAAATTAAGTGCACAACCAGTTTAATAATAATTTTTATCTTTACATAACCCTAATTTCTAAGGACAACCTTCCTACTCTGCTCCCTCTGAGTTACTATAGTTTGCAAAGAAAAGCCTGTGAGATGGTTCCTGCTGAAAATAGCCTGACTGAGTGCTTGCATGCATTATTAAAAGTTCTGCTCACATAGCTTATTAGTGTAATGATCAGGCCAAGTATTGCTTAGTGAAATGTTTGAAGCATGGAGACTCATTATTCATTACAGAGAGGGCCAGGGCTGGGGCAATGCTTTGAACTGGAGAGTGAATGTCGCATTAGCAGCCAGAGACTTCAACGTGATCGCAAATCCACCGCTTTAAACTCAAAGTGTTTCATGAAAGATAAACATGGCCTATTTGTCTAATTTGTTGGTCAAATTTGCGTTTGCATTAATCAATGTTGTTACATTTCATTGCAGGTGCTCGCCAAGAGGAAAGAGGGCACTGGGAAAGTCAAGGTCCTCCTGCATTGGACACCTGAAGACATGTAAGTGCTACAGAACTCACAGTGGTTATTGTGGTCACTGTAGAAAACATTTAGAATGCTAGACTAGACTACATTATTAGTTCAGATGTAAAACCATGATCATTTCAAGAAAAGCTTGTTTTGAAATGTCTGAGTTCAGTTGACCTTGTAGTATGGCAGACGTTCAGTGTCATTTATTGACATGGTACACGGTTAAATGTTTGATATGGTTTTGGCACTTAAACCCCGGCAGATAAATTAAATAAGGTATGCAGAAGGGGAATCTAAATACATGGAGGAAGCTGAAGCAATGTCCTACTGTTGAGATGGTGTTGGGGAGGAGGCTGGTTGTGGTGCGAGCTGAAAGCCCCAGTTTTGGTGCAGTCACTTTTCAAATTCAGCAAACGAAGCATCGACTTTTTTACAGAGGCACACGTGTGTATTAGTGGAAGTGTGGAAGTGAAGAGATGAAATAATGATCATGGCAATATTAGAGCAAAAAGTTTAACAGTTGTGTTTAATTAGAAAGTTTAGGAGGGGAACAATAAACAGCATTATAACCCTGATTGTTTAATTGGTGGAATGATGAAGTGGACTAAAATATAAAATGTGTCATCAACTAACCTGTATCCTCACATTAAGTTTACACACTCAAGCTTAAGTAGGCTTTTAAATTTAATGGAGAGAAAAAAACAAAGCTTGAAATTGTTCCATTGGTCCAGGAAAACCTTAGATGTGCAGTTTAATACTTATAACGCATCCCAAAGCTGTGGAAACGGCCCAGAAGTTTAAGCACATAATCAAACCTGGCCTCTCTAATCTTCAGACCTACACTGTGCTTCCTCTGAAAGCTCTGCGTCAACAATGTATATGGCGTTTTTTATGTCTGGACTTCACCATTCTCTTTTCCACCCAGCTGCAAACACGACACTGTGGCTGTCTTTGACGTCAGAGGGCCCCACTATACATTTTTCCGACCTTCACGTTTATTATTTATTATTCTAATGTTTGTAATATTGGAGCTGTGCAAAGCTGTAAACCTTTAGCTCCCCACATACTCACGCAAACCCACTCTCCTTGGCTGAATCATACTTGTCCACAGCAAAACGTGATGAACAATAAGTAAAGGATTGGTCAAATTTGGCAAAATGTATCTTAATCTGAGCACATTTTCACTGCCTTAAAACAAGATTTGCCTTTGGAACAAGCAAAATGTTCTTGTTTTTATAAAGATACAAGAAATGTCTCCCTTGGAATGAGAAAAAGTCAACAGTTCTTGAAATAAGACTAAATGGCGTTGTCCTTTTGGCAAATCTTGTTTTAAGAATGCGCTCAGATTAAGATGAAAACCACTTGATTGAAGCATTCATTAGCTCCATATGTTATCACTTTTTTCAGTGTTTAATGCACAATTTGGGCAGTACTTCAGCTGCAGCGTCAAAACACCTCAATAACGAGTGAATATGCTGTGGTTTCCAAGCTGTCAAAAGTCCAGAAACTGCTATTATCTTCATCACAAATCAATGCGGCGTATGCAGAAACCAAACTTTCAAACATACACTTTCTGCTCCCAGTTTTTTTTTCACAACGTGCGGTCGAAGCAGTTGTGTCTCTGTTCGCGAGGATGTTTTGAAAGGGTCTGGTTTTCCCGGCTGCATTTCTGGTTGAAACAATAAACACTTTGCGATGCATCTGAATGAACTCTGTTTGTTCTTCCCAATGGGACGAGGGATGCTCAGTTCTCTCATTTTCTACCAGAAAATGCACTGCTTTGTCTCTGTTCAAAAATGGGAGTTAGAGATAAGGTAAGGCCTGAAAACATTTATTCATCCCACAGCGGGGAAAATACAGTGCTTACTATATATTACAAAGACCTGATATGTATAAGGACCATTGCATTTGCCGTTACTATTAGAATGACTTTTAATGTTTTGTTCAAATACTACTAATATCTACTATTATTCAAATGTTCACTGAAATTTGAATCCTGAAGCTAACTAACTTACAGATAATAGGATGAAGAGTGAAACGTCATATTGAAACCGTGTATTGGGATAAATGTTATATCAGGTTAAGAGATCCTTAATTTGTCCCACAGTGGAGGAATTTCAGTGTTGCATCACTGGTTACAGAACAGTAGGAATGAGAAGCACACAGCACAATATAATAAAAAAATAACTCTAAACTGAAATAAAATAAAATCTCTAAGTTTAGTATGATAAAGAAGCAAGTATAAAATCTCTAGCTTTGGCATAATAAAGTAGCAAAGTATAACATACTGTATATTGTAGTGTAAGGAATATATAGTTATATGTTATGTTATACATACAGATTTGTCTGAAATCCAGAATGATTTCACTGTAAATGTATATTTTAATCAGTTTGGTGTTCTCCAGACCTGGGCCAATATCTTGCCACAGAATGTACCAGCATTGTATCGGTGCATCCCTTTTAAGGACTCACACATTCTGTTCTACAAGTTCCAATAGTGATGACTAGTTCTCAACAACCAAATAATTGTAAAAAAAAAAAACTTCTGATCAAAGCAGATAAGTTTAAGCAGACTGAATGTTTCGGAAAGACCATCCAGCTAAAGAGGAAGAAACTACTTTTAGAGACGAGTTGAAAGTGATTACAAGCCGAGACGGAGGAGCAGCGCCGGGTAAAATAATGGTGTGGAGTAGACGCACACAGAGGCTGATTGTAGCGGACAGTTTAGAACGAGGACACCAATTCCCTCTCCTCTGATCCACCTCCCCGCTCACTGCCGAGGTGAACCACGTGAAAAAATAATGAGCATTTGTGATCCGAAAAAAAAGTCTACCCACATACATCTGTGCGTCCAAACACAGACGCACAAGAGAAACTGACATATGGAAGCTAATGCTGCACCCAGTCTGAACCAGGGATGGGAGAGGACCAGGGATGAACGAACAGAGTTCGTTCAAAGTGGACTACATTTGAATATAGAAGATGGTAGATACACACAAACCATATGTTTTCAGACCAGCACGTACAGTAGCTATTATATTCAGTAATTATTTTTTTCAGGCCACAGGCGATTTAAAATTGGTGATATGCTGTGGTTAACCTAGAAATTCAGATTTTAGATACATACTCCAGAGCAACGACTATAGGACCATGTCCAAACACTGGGCTGACGGGTCCTTCACAGACACTGGACCCAGACTCTGGAACAAGCTCCCCCCTGATATGCGTATCCTTACTCTGATTTTGGCCTTTTTAAATTGAGGCTCAAAACTCATTTTTACAACATTTTTGCAAGCTGACACAATTTTATATGATTTTATTGTAAATCACTTTGGTCATCTAGAGTGTTCTAAAGGGCTCTATGAATAAAGTTTGATTGACTAAAAGGGCAGTGTGCCTAATGGACTTAAGACTACACCACACTCCCCGTTTACTAACTGTGAAATGTGTTTTTCTCTTCATTTGTGTGAAATTGCTGGACAAACTCGATTATGCACCTCAAGTTTTCCCTGCTGCTTCCATAATCAAATTTGAGAAGTTTGTTTTTGTTACCATAAAAGGTTGGATCCATTTGCTCTATAGGTTAAAAAAAACATGTCTGTCTTTAAATGTTGAAGAGATACAGAAACTGTCGGAGCTTTATCCAAGAGGAGAAGGGAAACAGTCCTCTTTCATGTCAAACAATCTTGTCCAGGTAATCCGCCTGTGTAAACTGACATTAGAATCCAGCAGTGCTCGTCTTCTATCACACAACTGTATCTGCTGCTGTTAAGTTGAAATATGATACTCGTTATAGCACTTAGACAATGTTTGGCTAGGCTGCTGAACAAACTGCAGGTAAATTTTCTCATAGTGGCATTACAGAAACAACAGCCATCAATCTAGTGCAGTGCTTCTAAAATGGGATCCTCTTTATCGCATTTGCAACTGTATTGATGCCTTTCCCAAACTCCACACCTCTCCTGAAGCAAATATACTGTAAATAAGGGAACATTGAATTTTGTATTCCGCACAGAGTCGCATAATGTTTCGTCAATCTAATATAGTCTTTTCTTAAACGATAAACTTCTTCTTTGGTGGAAGGGTAAGGCCTGGAGCCAGCGATCCATCAGGGAGCAGCCTCCTCTTGACTGCGGCAGACACCTACAGTAAATCTCAATCACAATATACATTTCAGAGTCATAAGACGCATGCCTCCTGGAAACTCTGCTCAATCCATTTGTCTTTATTTGGCTTTGTGTGACTAAACACTGCCTCCGTGGACCATAACAGGATGTAAAAATACTGTCAAGTGTACGCACGGTAAAAGGTGACAGTCACCGATGATCTTTCCACGTCCTCTTCATCTGTCTAATAAGCTGTCGTCTCCACACTTTCCTGGGGCGGTCGTGCTCCTGGTCCCGCACGCACATGCCGGGACAGGAGTGTTTATGGCCGGGCTAACACTGCGCAGGTCCCCCTTTCGTCGCAGATTTGCGCCGCACAAGGACACTAACTCAGCCATACCCAAACTCTAATGTGTCTACGAAAGCATCTGTTTCTCGTCTCCATCTTGGCTCCTCTCCGTGTCCTCTCTCTCAGCCCTCTGCATGAACAGGGAAGCTATTATTGCTCGGCGTCAGCTAAAAGGATCAATATAAAGGAACGTTTGTCCTTTATGTACAGTATAATCATGTTTATTACCATATTCATTTACTTTTTAAGAACTCTGAGTGGAATTCTCTTGTCGCCGTTGGTCTGTTTTTTTTCTTCATGTTGATTTTTGAATGGGCACGGGGCACGTTCCGGGGCACGTTCCGGGCACGTCCCACCGGGAGGAGGCCCCGGGGAAGACCCAGGACACGCTGGAGGGACTATGTCTCTCAGCTGGCCTGGGAACGCCTTGGGGTCCCCCCGGACGAGCTGGAGGAGGTGTGTGTGGATAGGGAAGTCTGGGCGTCTCTGCTTAGACTGCTGCCCCCGCGACCCGGCAACGGATAAAGCGGAAGAAAATGGATGGATGGATGGATTTTTGAATGGATGGCAAAATCTCCAATTGAATGATCAGTTGCAAGTACATTCGGCAAGCAGACATTTTTAGGACACCCAAAAGATTAAGATTAAGAGATTACCACCATAACCAGCTCTTCAAAGAAGTAAAACAACCCCCAAGTTGTTGCTTAAAGTGAAAGCTTTTTCATTTCATGCAGATTTAAAAGTGCAATAGTTTGCGTTCATGTAATGTTATAACAAGATTCCAACGAGTCTATAGTTTAGAATTATGGTGGAGGGCAGTTGGAAAATATTTTACTATTAGTGTATAGCAAATGTCTCTTATTTCCTGGGCCAAGCCACATGAAGCACAAACTGTTCTCATTCCACATGTTCTTTGTCAGTGCATTTTGAACATGGTCAAATTATATTCTCATAAAGGTATGTAGATAGTGTGAGACTGTTCATAGGACGATCCATATCTAAAGGGACTTGAGGCTAAATATATATGGAGGGTTTGTGAGTCTAATCACTATCAAACATGAATCTGGGAAAACATATGGACATTTTCTTTTTCAATAAAAAATACCTTCTTTCCCCTTTATACAGTTGCATAAACTGAAATACAATGCTTCAAATGCAAAGCAACCTATTTACACCTCTACTAAGGTCCTCAAACCTGTAATCATCAGGATTCCTGTTTTCTTTTTGTGTTCTAGACAGAACATTGAATGTAAAAAAGTAAAAGGTCTTTCATGGATTTGTCAGCCTTGCATTTCTCTTGGAGCTGTGGCTGCTGTTGTGTTGAAAGGTGCTGGCTGTAGCGCTCTCTCTGGATGCCACCTTCTCATTGAACTGACGAGGCTGAGAGTGATGGTCCAGTGCTGCTGCAGTGTGTACGGGGCGTGAGCTTCTCTGGGGGCTCCTGCTCTGACGCACACTGACGTGAGCACGGGGGGTGGGGAGGGGGCCGTACAGTCTCCTCCATCTCTTTAGCGCACAGCTCAGTGCTGTACAATAAGGTAGTGCCAGGCAACTCTTTTCACCATCTGCTTTCAGATGTGCTCTTTTTGTTACAGTTTGAGTTCCACCTCCCTTTTAGTTTTTACATAAACATGCAGAAGTCAATACTGCTCGAGTGATTCTCTTTACTACCAACTTTTTGGATTAAGATTTTAGATCCATTTCAAACTTGTTTTAAGTTTATTTACCTGGCTGATCAACTATATTAAGAGTATTTTTACATCAGTAATTTTACCACACAGAATACACAGAACCTCTGGAATGAGTATGCCATAGTTTCTGTACCCCTGAATTGTGTTTATAAAGTTATTCATAAAGTTATAGTCTGTTAGTTTGAGCCATATATATCTATTTGAGCCTCTATAATGGCACAATAAATGAGATGCAGGAATTTTTAATAGAATGTTTCTTGGTCTGGTTGCGTCCCTCAATGTTAGTCTGTCCCACAGAAGAACAGGGCTGTAGATGCTTGGTTTCAATCTGTGGACTTGTATCAGAACTGAGATTCTATGAACTTCAGAAAGATTTTTCAATGGAGAGTTTATTTGAGCAACATACAATCATGTTTACAAAACAACAATAAAGTTATTCCATTCCATTCCATCAGAGAATAATCTATTACAATAAGTAAATGCAAAAAAAGAAAATGTAAATACAAGCAAATACATTATTTGTACATTTGTCTGTATAATGTCATAATCATAGCCAGTGTCTCACAGCTCATTTACTTCCCAAATCAAGGAGTTTTGTGGAGAAAAGTTTGTGTGTATCCAACGAGTGCTTTTCCAACTGTAATAGAAAAAAAAAGCATTCAAATGAAGTGTACCCTTTGAAGACGATTAAGGCTGCAGCCCCTCGTGACTCCCCTGACCACTCGCCTCCTTGTCTCTGTGCAGATTACCTGACGTGTGGGTAAACGAGACGGAGCAGATGCAGCTGAAGACTAAAGTGGTGCACTTATCCCAGTTACCGCAGGACACAGCCATGCAGCTAGACCCCAACATCTACAGGCAAGTGTCCATCGTGACGGCAGCCTCTTGTTATCCGGCCAAACACATGCTACACACTTGTGCTAAGAGATCAGGAGGTTTGTGCTTCATCCACCAGAGGGCACCACGTCCTGATCTTCAGTATAATCTTTTAAATGTTTGTTTATGCAGTCCATTTTAGACAATACAGTAATTTTGGTTGGTGATGATATATATAAATGCCCTGTAAAGAATCCAGGGCATCAAGTCATAACACTGTCCCATGTCAGAGGATGACAAGTTCATGGCCTGTAAAATGTATTCCTGACCAATTTCGGTACCACCTAAACATTCTGTACTGTTCTTTTTCAGAGCTCTTCCACAAAAACGACTGAAGCGTAGGTGAGTTGATCCTGTATTTTCTCATTTTTCCTGAGACATAAAAAAATAGTGCACCTCCAGCGGATGTGAACTCGTACATATTTATTGCTATAACTGTTTTTGACATTGTTACAAAACATGTAACTATAATTTATGCAAACTCAAATGTGTTTTTTTCCCTTCTGCTGAAAAAGTCACTTCTCTGGAAACCATTAGTTTCTCTGAGCCGAGGTTTATCACGTAGAACATCTGCGGCTGTGGAACTGTTCACTTAGTTGTTGATTATTGTCAGAGGAGTAAGACCTGCACATCTCGAAATGCAGTGAGTGCGGATTTTTGGATCGAGTCAAAATTAACCTTTTTCTTAGATTATTTTTTTCAAACTTAGATAAACATTTTCATGGCAGTTAATAATTTCACAGCTAATGTATTTTTATAGACTTAATCCTTTATCACATGTGGTCCTTTACTAGCATGGCTCTGCTTTCGGAGAGTTGGAGAGCACCAGACACCATTCTTGATTGTGTCTTCCACATGATATGTTTCGAGAATGCTAACACTGACTACGTTTTCAGCGGGTGGAGTCTGCTTGTTCCCCCCATTGATTGTAGAGCCCCAAAGAGCCTGTAGTTGCAGTTTGTGGTGAAGGGCAGCTGAGCAATCCTTTCTTGTTGTAACTGACCAAAGTAAGCTGCCGTAGTTTAGAGCCTGGGTCAATCCACAAGAGGCAAAAACACAAAGTTACACATCTTTGTCAGCACATATCAGCTGTGGTCTGGTCTCTGTTGGCCAGAAAAAAGGACTTCAGGACATAATAGTGGTAATGATACAAAAATAAGAAAAAAAATAAAAAGATGCATAAATAGAAAATATCCTAAGCTTTGTGAATCTAAAGAGATGTTTTCCCAGTTCATATAATGTGACCTGAGGAAACATTTGGGCATTTTCTTTCTCAACATTACTTTTACCAACAGAAATTGCTTCTTTCCCGTAGAGTTGCATTGGCACAATCCCTCCAACTGAAGCACCACTCTAGAACATGAGCGCATCCAATCCCTGCGTCGGTTTCATACACTTCATATACGGTCGACCAGCGATCTCATGTGGCCGCTGTGCACAGGAGTGGACTGAACATGCTAAGTACATGTGAGGCCTCTGCAGGGTTTACGTGTACGTTTGGATTCCTAAAAAAAAGCTCTTTCTTTTCTTGTCTCTTTGCTCTTAGCCTGTGAGGAGAAAACCCGGACTCTACTTTTAAGTGGAAAATCCTTGTATTCGTGTCTCTGTCGGGAACCGGACATTGTTCCTCCGTCTTTTGCCAAACGAAGAAATGGCGATTTAGGGAAAAAAAAGAAAGAAAAAGACAAAAAAAGACTTTGGTTTTCGTTTGTGTCGATCATTTCTGAAGCGCTGTGGAACGGACTCGAACAACAACAACACAACTCACACTTTTAACAAGCACCTACCTGAATTCCTTTGGCGAACAACAGTTCACATTTTCTGAACATGCATTTTATATCTGTTTTTGTAAAAAAAAAAAAAAAGAAAGAAAAATGCAGATTTGTAACTTATTTTTATACCGTAATAATACTGTAATGTACTGTAGGGTTTTTAATGTTTTGACAAAGGAAAATTTGCTGTGATAATCTCTACAACTTTAACTTGTGGGGGGACGTGTGGCCAGTTGTAAAGATATTCTGACAAAATCCACAATTCTTCTACCTAAATGCAGTGACTTTGGTGGCCTGAGGTTACAGTAGTGACGTGTGCAATGCAATACACAAGGCTGCCACAGCAATAACCGACTTCATCATCTCCCCTTTGCATGAAGCTGCCGTTCTCCGATCACCAATAGGAGCACACATGAACTTTTTGACTCTAAACTGACCGATGCTAACAATTTTTACATTTTTAATTCCTTTGCGTTATGTTTTAGAGACGCACACAGCATTGTTACAGGCACCTTAACATTGCAGCCCATGTCTGCAAATTCAGATAGAGAGAAAAAGCTATAAAACTTGTAAATAAATACATGTTGAGCTAAGAATAGTATTAGATATTGCAGTTTTGAAAGTCACGGTCATCCAACTCATTTCCAAGTCCCTTATAAAAGTATTAATTCTTCAACTTATTTCATTCTCTGATATATTTAAGCACTTCGTGATTTGTTCGTTAATGTGTTTCCTACTGTATGTGGTTGCTGTTGAAGTGTTTTTTTTAATAAAATTGGAAAAAATTATTTGTCACTTTTACTTGATTTTGATACATACTCAATTTGGTATGAATTGGAAGGAGTTACATCACAAAATCACATCAACACCATTGATTTTTAAGTTCCACCACTATTCTAAATGTAGATGTTGTATATTGTATCATCTTGACCAGCGTTTCCCAATCAGGGGTCTGTTCGCGAGGTTTGTCACAAGGGTCAAACGAGATCCTGCGAGATCATCTTTTGTGGCCCCCATGTAGATAGATATAGATAGATACTTTATTGATCCCTGTAGGAGCAATTCAGGTGACCAGAAGCAGCAAAAATAAGTGATCATTCTAAAAAGAAAACACTAGTAATAATCAGCAACACTGTGTATTTTAATTATGAATTAATTTTCTCAAGATTTTGTTTATCTGATATATTTTTACGAATGAACTGCTCCTTTTCACATGCAAATCTGCTTCAGAGTGTGCAGAATGGCATTGAGTTGGAAAATACTGGGATATCATTCTTCACATTTTTGGTAAACTTGGTGTTTTGATGTCACCGTTACAGTTTAAGACATCGACAGGTGAAACTTAAAAAAGAAAAGATGTTCTAAAGTTAGTTTACTTTTGAATGTCAATTTTAAATGCAAAACCGAAATACAGTATATAGACATTACATGCAAAGTGACATTGGTCAAGATAAGCTTAGATGACCTTATAAGTAGCCTTTGTTATAATTTTGGCTGAAAGTTAATTTTCAAAATATCCTAGTTTTCAGAGTTGATCTATTTGGGCTGTGCAAAATCTGCGAGCCAATTATCAGCACTAACAAATAAAAAGGCTTGATATTTCTCACTTAAGTAGAACAGAAGTAAATGGAATTTGGAGTGAGATTCTTATTGCCAGTGTTTTCAACAGGAAAATTACACAGCATTTTGTGATATATACCAATAAAATACTTTTGATTCAGGTGAGGCTTCCCATTTAGATACGAGATGTATTTCTCCAATTCTCTCTGGGCCTTCAGAGCCCTGCTGCTGTGGGATGGTCCTGCTAAAAGTGATGAAGTAAAAATTGCTCAAATTTGGCAAAATGCATCTTAATTTGAGCACTTTTTTGACTGCAAAGACGAAGACTAAAATGAGACTTGAAACCCAATGGGACAAGCAAAATGATCTTATTTGAAAGAGATACAAGAATGTCTCCTTTGGAACGAGAAAAATAAAGCAGCAGTTCTTGCAATTAGACTAAATAGCTTGTCCCATTGGCAAATCTTGTTTTAAGACAGTCTGAATTCACTCAACAATTATTACCTCATATTTGATCATTTTTTGCAGTGCCTGGCCTCCGCTGTGGAGAGGAGCACAGTGCAGTCCAACATCTCCTTGCTCTAGACAAAGTTTTAAAAGCATGTGGCACATAAAAGCTACAGCTGGAGTTCCAGTGTCTGCCAGCAGCTGTTACGTGATTACACTATTATTGCTTCAATTATTTTGAGGAAAACCAGATTCAGTGGTAAGTACCTGCATCAGCTCTTGGCAGCTAATTATGAACTCCTAACAAAAGTATGTTGAGTGCAGTCTGCGCAAAACAGACAAATTTAGAATCAGGCTCGCCTAAATATTTGTATCATAGTTCCTTTTCCATTTTGCAAATTCATAATTCTCATGGCCTGACATGATCCCACAAACCTCCTTTGTGATCTGTATATACACGCTGGCTGTCCTTGGCCTGGCGCTGACCTTTTCACAGGAGAAAAGTCTGAATGTACACTTTAACAAAGTCACAAGTTAGTTAAGCAAGAAGTACACAGTTATTTACATATTTCAAAATCCAACTTATGAGCTGGAATACATTGATCCACTAATTCTGTGTTAAATTGTTTACTTCTAATCAAATCAAATGTATTTAGAGCACTATTCATACAATGTAACCAAAAGTGCCTCACATTAAAAGACACACAATAAAACATAAAACAAGAGCAAATACATGGGAAGCATTGTGTTTAAGATATTCAGTAAAAAATATAATAAAAAATTATTGCTTCAAATTAGTCAAATACATTGCTAAACGTAACTTCTTTTTTTTTGCAAACCTTGCTTTTTTGTGACTCCATATACAGCGTATGACAGCCACTATTTGCCAACATTGGAACGATTCAAACTGGGTTTATCCTGCTTGTTAATATTATGATTGTTGATTGCGGCCAAAAATTTGAAATCCCTCCTTCATGTTGTAAATTCTATAACTGTCCGTCTTATCTTCTGTCTATCTGTCTTGCTTCTTGTCGATCATCACCTCTTGTGCACATCAAAACTCTTCCCAACCCCTCTTTGCTTTTGGAAAATCCCAGTCAAAACTATCATTACGATTCATCAGGACGTTTGCTATGACATAAGCCCTGGAGCCTGGCCGCGCTTCTTTTAACTTTGCTAAATTGGACCACTTCCCCGCTCTCTGATACCGGTGTCTGAATCTGTCCCTGTGCTCACTTCTTGCCGGTGCTTTGGCGTCATGCATGGGCCGTCCCGCTGAAGAATGAAGGCATTACATTGGAACAAAAGAGATGAGCTGCGTCACTAAAGCATTAAATCTTGGACCATCCATCCAAGAGGTGTCTTTGTCTCAGAAGTCTGGGCCTCGCAAGGACTCTGAACTGACTGAGAGAATATTAGTCAAACTGCTGCACCTTTGCGCTCGGCCGTTCAGCCACATTTGATATCCCCTGAGCTCATTCATGTGATATTTCTCAAAGGCTCTATTATTATGTCAATCAAAATCACGTTTTTGATTTTTTTATGAATATACAAAACAGAAAAAACATTGAAATGATGTACATGATCAATCCAAAATTCAAAAGCACTTCCATTCCTTGATAAAAAAAAAAAAACCTCCATCCAGACCCTGATGCTCTGGCCCATTCCGCACATTTCCTGAAAAGGTTCTCCAAATCCTCCTTTAACCTTTTGAGTTGTATTACTCACAGCTGGACAGACAAACGCTGACTATCATGTTGCCTCCTTGTCGGACGTATAATGTGCGTCCATTGAAACGCATTGATATACAACTTATGAATTCATTTACATATTTCTACAATACAAAATATCTACACTTACCCCACATTGTTGTTCTTGACTTTTTCATTATAATGGTGTTGTTTCATCTGGGACGATGATGGAAATAGATTGCGCATTGGTTTAATGATATCTGTTAAGCTATTACCCTGATTAGGCCTTTTGTTTGCAGTAATAAAACTGTTTATTGACTGATATCAAACCCATAATGTAATGCAAAGTTTTACTGTAAGGATAACTGTAAAAACACACACAATTTGTAACTTTGTATAGATTTATTTTTTATTTTTCCCCCAGGCCCAAATTGGGTGTTGGTTATTCTTTTTTTTAATGGGAAATAATATTATGGGTTTTTTAGCTATATTGGCAGATTTGTGGCTAAGAGAATGTGGAGCAAGTACAAGGCCAAGTTCCTGTTACTTTAAAGCTGAGCCCACAACACACAGTCTTCATCTTTCAGATAGAAAAGTCCCTGTGAGTGAATAGCTGTGAAACAGTGAAACAGCTCTAATATTTCATATACAGCTGTAATGTTCAGTCACAGGGCTGGGTTTTTTCACATTTGTTCTAAATATGTGACCAAGACAAAAAATATATAACTGAGTCAAGTGAATGTGGGGAAAAAGATTTTTTTTCTATTTCAGAGTGATTCGTTCAATGATGCGCTGGAGTATGTAGCCCGGAGTGAGCGTTTTGACCAATCAGAGAGCTGCTTTGACAAAGACGTCCGGCGCTGACGAGCAGAAACTTCTCCCTTGAGACAGTTG